AATGCAACGGAAAGCAGCAGGAAAACGGGTGATTTCACTTCACCTTTACGACTGTGTTTGTTTCCGAAATATTTGAAACATCAGCTATCGGCTTTACATTTAGGACATTTCATAATATTGAAAGGTTAGGTCTGGCTAGCTCAGGAAATATTTTGCTTCGTTTGAAATGGCGAGGGGTTGCTGCATGCATGTATTTCTAGTAACTTTATTAAATAAAGATTCTTTTTAGTCCGTTTTGTCAGATCGAATTTTGTCTTTATTTATGTTGTCAACTATATGACCGCAGGAAAACTGGACGGTAATTGTGACTATTTAAACTGATGATATTTGTACTGGTATATGGCATCTTATTTTCTTATGTTCACGATCTCTGTTGCTTGCAATACTAGTCTTCCTGACGAAATCTGTCGTATACAGCCCAAGTTAATTCTGAAGAAGATATCATATGAATGAAATGACAAATGTCATTGTCTCAGCAGTGATGTGCCGTACGGGAATCGTGTGTTTTAATGTTTTTGTGCATGAGAAGGTTTAACGGGTACTCCGGTTCCTCTTGACTCAAGATTTTCAAATAATCACTCTGCAGTTGACTGTATTGTTTAATAAAAATAAACATATAAGCCAAATTTTAAAAAAGCTTGAGGCGAATATTTGTCATCAACTACAGTGTAAACTATTCTTTCAAAGGCTTTGCTTTGTAGTTTTTTTAAAAGACATTTTAATGCTGTTGATTTCTTTGATTTGGGTGCCCTAAGGGAATGTTCTTGTTGGGTAGATTTAAAAACACTGTCAATAAAAGGTAAAAGAAAATCGTAATTTGGAAACCTCGTTAGTCGTTACCACGCGTTAGCTTTCTCCCCGTAGTGACACTGCATGGCGTATAGAATTGATGATCCGAAATCAGTTGTCATGTTGGTTTCCATAATAAGTCAAGTAAATTAAATATTACGCTTAGATACAGAAGTTACTTTACATAAAAATTATTCTAGGTACTATATATAAATACAATAATATAACATGCGTCTTTATACCTGCAAACATAATATCACACACACATGCAACTAGTTTGGTTGATTACAATATACTTCAAGCTCTCTATATAATTTGAATATTATCGCTTGAAGCCTTTCAATTATTTTTTTAACTTTATCAATGCACGTGCCGAAAGCAACTCTAAGCCAGACCAAAAAGGAGTAACGAACATCATCATATGATAGTAAAAGAGTTAAGGATATCATGGTACAATAACACAGATCTTTAACACGACATGCAGTGTTTTTATTAGTGTAAGATAAGTTCGAGACGTGAGAAGTGTTTGTAGATATAGTATAAGAGTGACGTAAACTCGCCTCCAAATCAGTATTTACAACACTCACAAATCTCAATTCACAACGCAAAATCTCAAATTCTCTCTCTCCTCTCCAAAATGTACAGCCTCATGCTTTTTTGATTGACACTTCCCTTCCTCTATTGGCATGCACTTCAATAATAATGTAATAAATTAACTTAGTAAGTCAATCACCATCAAAGAGCGTGGTTTAATTCACTGCCACGTATGGTAACACCGGAATCCTTGAAGCTCGTAATAAGGTGGGAAGGAATCTCTAAGACGCCTCAAAGGTGGGATTATTGGTGTAATAAGAAGCTATATTCTTTCTATTTAGTCCATTAGCTTGATCTCCCAGCTTTCCATTCCATTTGCAGTATCGTCTGTTGCCCCACAGATTTTAACGTCTCAAAACGGATGTCGTTTGATTTTGTAAAATAATAGACTGTGAAAAAACCTGTTGGAAATCCTAAATCAGTCGCTAGTTGATTGTCGATGGATGTCAAGCATTGTCTTGAATTGAAAAACTTTGATAATGGACATGAATTTAATAAAAAATAATGCAGTGATATCAATTTAGCAAAAAAATTTGAGTTAGCCACAGTTTGTGAAAAGTAATAAAATTAATGATGAAAAATGCCTTTTCATTTAGTCGTAGGTGATCTGATTTCCTGTTTCAAGTCTTGCCTGCCTCGAGCCCCGTGGCCATTGTAGTGTAGATATAGATTACTATTATCGACCTAATGAGGATTTTTAATGAAATATGTCAAAGTTTTCTGACAATTTTCAGATGTGCGATCATTATATATCAATACTTCAGTATTCGAAGTTATTCTTTTCTAATAGTTTAATGCGAGATGCCGTCCGTCTCATCTTTTAGTTAATGAAGTAAATGAACAGAGTAAGTTCGTACTTCGTTACATCTCCTTTAATACCTCACTCATTCAATGTTAGTTTTTAGGCAACATGGATAACACGGAGTCAGAGTTCTGTAGCTGGAGTTTCGGAGTTGGAGTCCCGATGTCACAAATTATGGAATATGTCAATTACGGAGTCTGACGTAATAATACTGGAAAACACGGAGTCACAAATTATGAAAAACACGGAGTCTTTTAAAAATATTGAAAACATGGAGTCACAAATTATGGAAAACACGGAGTCTGTTAAAAATATGGGAAACACGGAGTATAAATGTTTGAAAGTCTGCCAAGCTCAGTGGTCAATGACTCAACGTGAATTATGCAAATTTGATAGCGTGTTTTAAACAACATGGCGTCAAATTTGCCTAACGTTTTTGCTATTCCGCAAATAGTAAATAAACGACCGAAAAACTTATCCTTAAACATAAATGATATTCCTCAATTTAAATGGGAGGATATTGTAGACAAAGAGGAAATTGGATGCGGCAGTTTTGCTGTGATTTAAGGTGATATAAGGACACGTAATGTAGTTAGCTACAACAATAATTCTATGACTTTGAGCAAGAGGCATTATAGCTATAATCTTTTGTTATTGTGTATTCTTTCTTTTATACTATTACTGTTGTAGAAAAAAATAGTATAGACTAATGAGCAATCCTTCATTTGATGAATATATGTATAATTTACGTTGACTCCGTGTTTTCCGAACATTTATACTCCGTGTTTTCCATGTTTTTGGCAGACTACGTGTTTTCCATAATTTTTGACACCGTGTTTTTCAATATTATTACGTCAGACTCCGTAATTTTGACTCCGGGACTCCGGCTCCGGAACTCCGACTCCGTGTTATCCATGTTACCGATGAACGGCGCCGTTGCTCTAATAGAGTCATACATACCATACCTATACTAGGCTATAGTGTTAAATAGTGGGATTTCAAAGTCACTGTTGCTAAGGCGATAATCTTGCGTACAAATATTTTACACATTAATAATTGTTATTAAAATGCATTGAAAAAGCTAATTAAAAAAGATATAATATGGCGGTAATTCCTGTCTTGCATGTCTTTTTAAATACTGAGCCCCAAGAAACAATAGAGCTCATCAACTTGTATAATTACATCCTATATGAATATAAAGGCAAGGCTTGACGAATATTAAATATTTCAGAGGCCTCGAATTAAAAATCTAAAATTTGCGCGGAGGTGTTTCAGTCTGCTTCTATAATTTAACCCTCTCCCACTCCCCCACTTTCAAACAAGCTCCGCGGCCGTGGCCGTGGTAGGTGAGTATTCATCTTTGAAATTACGGACTCTCTATGGTTCATTGGAGATATTTCGACGGTTTCGATGGTGATTGCACCCAGTGGCGTAGGAAGGGAGGGCACGTGCCCCCCAAGATTTTTCATGGGACAAAAAGTGCCCTTTTTGTGAAAAAAATGCCTTTTTGGGAAACGAAAAGAAAGAAAAAAGTATCTCCTATTTCCCAATAATCCTTAAATTGAGAGGGATTTGCGGCCATTTCAGAGGCCTATATCTCAAAATTTTCTCGGGAGGGGCATGCCCCCCGACCCCCCTAGCAGTACGAAGCCCAAGAAATACGAAAAATGCTTTGCGGTCGGCGGTCCCTGAATCAAACCGTCCCTATATATATATTTTTATTAACCATTTTAACCGTCATTTTTATTAACCAAAAGTGCCCCTAGACGCTGGTGCCCCCCCAACCTACGCCCTTGATTGCACCATTCATAAAAACAACAGCATACAACCACTAGTGTGACTGGATAATAAATTGGATCAGTCGAGTCCAGCTATTGTTAAAAGTGACTCGCACGCAAGAGAAACAGTAGAAGGACATACCATTGAAACCAACACGAAATCAAATAAAACATTGGATGAATTGTGGTCAGAAAAAGACGGTGAATCACCTCGTCTTGTGACGGCTGTCATTGTTTGTTTCGGCAATCGTGGAGAAAATTATGAAAACGTTGCTCTAGACTTTCCATCTCGCCTCAACATTGTTGGAGTTGCTGAGCCAGAGAAACGCAGAAGAAAAAATTACAGCGACTCCGTGACATTCCAGATGAGCGCGCTAGATGACTGGAGTAAATTAGCAATATTGGATAAAATAGCTGATTTTGCTGTCATTACAACTTAAGATAATATGCACAAAGACCCTGCCATTGCGTTTGCTGATAAAGTATATAATTTGTTACTGGAGAAGCCAATGGCAGTCAAAGTCTAATCGTAGTTCGCCAGGTATTCCACATCACAGGCCTGAGAAACTGAAAGCCACGATAGTATAATCTCAGTCGCATGCCACTTGAAACGGCAGATGAAGGCAAAAAATGGGATTGAGAATTATAGGACGCCGCTTGCAAGACAACGACAATAGCAACCTCGTACACAGGGTCCTGTAGGTAAAATACTCTGGGTACGAGGTTGCGACAATTATACCGAACTCATCACACAATGGTATACTTATCATTTATAATTAACTTTACATAAAACCAAAAATTTCCTCACGATTGCTCACTGATTTCTTGAATGTCTCACTCCTTTTTTTATTTTTATGTGTGTTCTCAGTTCTATTGTTATCTAATTAACTTGACGCATGACGTTTGCCACGCCCAGCTTTTAATTAGATGTTATTCATGCATTTAGTATACAACTCCCCTAAAAATTTAGTCAATTTTTATAATGTCAACTCAATATGAAGTGTTCCTCATTTACTTGTCTCTGCGAGGCTCTCCGTTCAGTCTGCATCCTCGGTTTCTGCCAGTTTGCGTATTTTCTTTCTTGCTTCAATAGCTGCTCCCCGTTTCTGCTTTTCCTTTTCAACCGGCTGCTTGTTCTCGTTCTTCCTTTGTTCTATTTTCGTTGTGCGACGAATTTCGAGTGGACACACCAACTGTAACGGTCGTTCGATAGTATGTCCTTTGTGTAAAAGCACTACACCTCGTACTACTCCGTCCTTTCCTTTGACTTGTCGCACTACCCTTCCTTTCTTCCATTCGCTTCTGTTCTTTTCTTCTCCCACGACTAAAACTACTTCTCCGACTTCTGGCGCGTTAACTGGTTTTCCGTTTACTCTTTGACTTTCCATTAAACTGTGTATGTACTCTCGTTGCCATCTTTTCCAAGCATTGTTCTTTGCCTTGGCGATTCTCCTTTGCATCTTCGTAAGCTCATCATCGTCATTCTCTACGTCATTCATGAGATAAGTGTTTTTCCCTCGAATGAGAACATTTGGCGTTAGTACTTCTTCCTCCCCACTTTCGCTTTCGACATAAGTTAATGGACAATTGTTCATATTAATTTCTATGTCCATGAGGACCATTTCCAAATTCTCGAATGAAAGGTGCGTTCGTCCAAGAGTCTTATAAAGGGTCTTCTTTATTTCCCGTATCAACCTTTCATAGATACCTCCCCACCAAGGGGATTTAGCGAGGTTGAATCTCCAGTGTATACCTTGTGCTGCTAGGAAGTCGTGCAATTTCTCACTCTTTCGAATGGCTTTAATTAGTTTCGCTGTCGTTTTGAATGTCGCTGCATTGTCAGATATCAGCAACCGTGGTCTTCCTCTCCGAGCGATGAATTGGTTGAGCTTTCGTTGGAATTCCTCGGCTTCTTGGCTTTTGGTTAGTTCCAGGTGGATCGCTCGAGACGCCGCACACGTGAAGATTAGTACGTAGCACTTTCCTTCTTCCCTCTTACTGATCTTGTATTTTAACGGGCCGGCGTAGTCGACGCCGGTGACTTCGAATGGTTCGCTAGCTTCGGTTCTAAAGCTGGGCATGTTGCTCGTTAGCGGTGACCCATAGGGCTTCGTGGAATACAGCTTGCAGATATTGCAACTGTTAATTAATTTTTTCACCTTTGATCTAAGTTGTGGTATCCACCATTGTTCTCTCAACGCAGCCATGGTATTTGCGACACCAAAATGCTTGATCTTGCTGTGTGTGTGTGCTATTAGCTTTTCTACGAACAGTCCTCCGTCAAGATATATTGGCTCGTATCCACTTACTCTTCCTTTACACTTGAGAACTTTCGTTACTTTGTCTTCAACGATTCTCCATCCAGGCGCTTGTAATTCAGGATTGACACTTTGTTGTACTCTTCTTATCCAAGCGTATCTTGCGACACTAATTTCTTCGCTTGCAAGAGGTCCCGACTGTTTCTGGTTTCGACGAACTTTTGCCAAACAGTTGTTTAGAAATCTCAACACCCACGCAGTGTACGCCAGTATGTATTTCTATCTAGCAAAGCGTCCCATTCGTCTGGCTCTCGTTCTTTCGTAAACAGTGCTTGCTCTTTAATCGGTTTGCATTCTTGATTGACAGATGTAGTTACTTTTAAAATTGGTTGTTCTGGCCATTGTTCTTTCTCTAATAACCAACCTGGACCGTTGAACCAGCTTCCGTTTTTCAATCTTTCCATGGTTGCTCCTCTGCTGCCTAGATCAGCAAGATTCTTATTTGACGGGCAATGCTTCCAAACGATACCGAGCTCGCTGGTTATCTCAGCTATCTTCTTGATTCGATTGGAAACAAACGTTTTCCAAGGTTTTCCTGGATTGGTTAACCAGTAAAGTACCACCATGCTATCTAACCAGATCACGATGGTCTTGATAGGTTGTCGTTTAAGAGCATTATGTAAATTCTTCGCCATATTCGCAGCCATGTGAGCTCCTACGAGTTCGAGTCTGGGTATCGACGTGTTTCTTTTTGAAATCCGGGATTTCGATGTAAGCAACCCTTTGATCGTTCCAGAAGAATGTTCAACTACCGCTATGGTTACTGCAGAACACGCGAGGTTACTTGCGTCGGCGAACACGTGGAGTTCTATACCCTTCGTTTCTTTTGAATTCCCTGTTAAGCTCCTCGGTACTTCCACGTTCTTTAGTTGTTTGTTCCATTTGTGCCACTGTTTCTTCAATTCTGGCGAAACTTCAGCATTCCATCCTTTTTTTTCTTCACAAGCCTCTCTATAAATGTGTTTTCCTTCGGTTATCGTGGGTGACATTATTCCCAATGGATCGTACACTTTGCCAAGCTGACTCAAGATACTTCGTTTCGTAACTGAATTAGTCTCGGGTAATGCTGGTACTTGTATTTCCAGAGTATCTGCTCGCTTGTCCCATACATGACCAAGAATTTTGCTAGGATTTTGCATGTTCTCATCCTCTAATGCCTCGATGTTCGACTCCCACTTGTGAATTGGTAATCTTGCACTCTCAAGAACAACTTGACTTTCTTTCTTGAACTTCTCCAACTTATCAATGTCACTTCCCGTTTGCATAATATTGTCCACATACGTGTTTTCTCTAAGGGCAGTCACTGTTTCCTCTAATTCTGGTGATTGCTGGTCGTAGTGGTATTCCAATGTCGCACCGAGTAAGAATGGACTGGCTTCAACCCCGAATGGAACTCTCGCGAACCGAAAATGTTCCTCTTTCTCGTCGCGTTCAAAGAGAAATCTGAAAGCATCTCTGTCTTCTTCTTTGATTGCTATCTGCAAGAAAGCTTTCTGAATGTCTGCAAGAAGCAGATTTGACGACATTCTTGCTCGTACCATGATATCCCACAACAGCGGTTGGAGGGAAGGCCCAGTAAACATACAATTATTGATACTGGATGCCAGTGGATGGGGTTTGGAGCTCGCGTCAAAAACCATTCGCACTTTGGTGGTTGATGCATCTTGCCTTACGACTGGCTTATGTGGCATGTAGTACACTCGCTCTCCTGATGGCTCGTCCGGGGCTTTCTCAATCACACCGCTTGCTAACTGATCCTCGATAATCTTCTCATACTCTTGCTTCAGGTTTTCATCTTTCGCCAACTTTTTGTTCACGTTGCTCAGTCGTCTTCTGCTTGGCTGTTCGTTTGTGGTTGTTAACTTACTCCCTGGAATCCATGGTATGCTGACTTTGTATCTGCCATCATCTTGTCTAGTTATGTTCTCTCGAAACTCAGCAAGCACTTGCATTTGGTCATTTTCACCACGATCTTCAACTCCGAGAACATCAAGACTATATAACTGTTCGTAATCGTTAACCTCTCTAGTGTACATACAAGCATCGCTCGAATAATTCTCACCACCATGAACAACCCATCCGAATGTTGTCTCTTCCACCAAAGGATCTCCAGGATTACCTTTGTAAACTTTCTCAGTTCGAATTCTGCTGTATGTGCCATCACCGAGGATGATATGAATTGGATGTTCTCCATCGCTGGTCATGTAAAATCCTTTGTCTTGCATATGGGTGTATTTCTTCTTGAGTTCATTCATATCTGGTCTTTTAACTGTGGTAAAATTTTGGAGTCTGGAACCGGTCAATTCAATATCTTCATGTACTTTCCCATCAAGAGAATTTATGGTTGTTTGGAAAATAGGCATGGCTTGAGTCGAGGTGCCAGTCACGGTTACAATCTCGTGGGATTCGTGATGTGTTGGTTCAAATTGAGTTTCTTTACAGCCTCGCGTGAAATAAAGTCTCGACCTGAACCAGTGTCGAGATATGCCCACAGGGTTTGTCCTTTTATCTTGACAGGTACAATGGCTGGAAGCGATTTCTCCTCAGTTATAGTGGTAAATCCAGTTACTAACTTGTTCTCCTGGTCATCTTCATTCTTATCACACAGGCTTGTGTGATGTCTGGCCTTACACTTCAGGCAACCACGACTTCGACATTGATTTCCCCTGTGCCCAGTGCGACCACAGTTAAAACACAGATTCTTCTCAGCGAAAAATTTCTTTCGGTCGGCCAATCGTTTCACTGTTTTGCATTGATCACTCCGGTGTTCATTATTCGAACAAAAAACACAGTGAGGTTTTGGGGGTCCGGATGACTTTTGATACCAGTGTCCTTCTGGTTTCTTGTATCTGGTTTCTTTCTGATTGCTCGTATCTTCCACTTTATTTCGTCGAAACCACTTTTGCAAATTCAGTAATAGTACTTCCATGGACCATTCTTCCCAGTCATCATCTGCTCGAACCAAGTCGGCTTTTATGTGTGGCAACTTGTTGATAGTGGTCATAACAAAACCGGAAAGTTTTTCACCGTCTCCCAGAGTTTGAATTGCATCGAAATTCTTGCTTAATTTCTCATAGAAATCTTGCACCTTTTCATAATTATGCCCTCTCACTGGAGTTAAGTTAATTATTGCATCCATATGGGCGTTGATAACATGTTTGGGGTGACCATACTCGCTTTTTAATCTTTCCCATGCAATCTTGTAACCAACTTCACCCGGTTTCAAATTAGCAATCTTTTCCTTCACCTTTGGGCTCACCATTTCCAATAAAAACCCGTATTTTTCTTCGGCTGTACTCGCTTTTTCATGAACAAGTGTTAGAAACATGTTCTCAAACCGCACCCAATCCATGGGAGTTCCATTAAACGGTGTTATTTTTAACTTCGGTAATTTCGCTGTAGATGAACGAGCGGTCTGTTCCATTTCTATCTTTCTCTGCGTCATGCGTAATTCAGCTTCGTGCTTTTCTTGCCATAAATGTCGTTCGCGATCCTCTTGTGCTTCTCGAATTTCAGCCCGCCGTCGTTCTTCTTGTTGAAATTGTTTATCTTTTAATTCTAATCGTCGTAATTCTGCTTCGTCTTGAGCCTTTTCTTGTTTTTCCTTTAGTTGTTGTGCAATTTTCTCGTTGTCTACGATCAGCTCTGAATATTTAGACTTTGTTTCCTTTTTCCACTGTCTGACTGTACGTGTTGTTTTTCCGTTATCGATTTTCAACTCTTCTGCTTGCGAAATAAGCTCTGATATTTTGACAATTATTTTCCCAGCGCGATTGTATATGGCTTCCATTTCATCGTAATCTTTCGCTTCAATAATTTCATTTGTTTCTTCTAAGAAATACTTTAACTTAGCGATTTCTTTTTCAATATCTCCTTCGAGTTTTTGCTCGCCTGCGTTTGTAATCTCGCTCGCTTCTTCGTCGCTCATACTGATAAATAAACAGTTTTGTCTTCGTAATTTACCGCTTTGTTTGATTGATTTTCGTCGCTTTAATCCACTCGTATCCTGGTCACGGCACCACTAGTATACCGAACTCATCACACAATGGTATACTTATCATTTATAATTAACTTTACATAAAACCAAAAATTTCCTCACGATTGCTCACTGATTTCTTGAATGTCTCACTCCTTTTTTTATTTTTATGTGTGTTCTCAGTTCTATTGTTATCTAATTAACTTGACGCACGACGTTTGCCACGCCCAGCTTTTAATTAGATGTTATTCATGCATTTAGTATACAATAGTTGATTTCATATTAGTGAGCTTAAGCAAGTGACGTTTTTGACATCACAAACGGCATGAGTAACGCCAAAAGACTGGGTCAAGAATTGTGATTGGTGAAAAATAAAAACTTTACTTCCGGTCAACGTACGTGTTGTCAAAAACGTCACTTGCTTAAGCTCACTATTGTGAAACTCTCAACTGTGCCTTTCCCGAAAGGCATCAGAATTATAAATTCATGTTCTTTCAACTTCTTTGTTGGCTTCACCTATCATCCCACAGTCTACAATCTTTGTATTTGTCCAGAAGGTTAAACAGAAATTCGCAAAATTCGTTAAGGTCTATTAACACACGAAACTATTTGTGATACGTCAGATTTGATGAATCGTGTGCCAGGAGGGTTTGTCCGCGTTCTCTCTAATAGTAAAATTCAATTTTACTATGAACTGAGGAAGGAAACTATGAAAGTATTCCTGCAAAATACTGGCTAGTATAATTTAATACATAAGAGATGCCTGCGGAGGAGGCTAGTCGACAGGGCGTATGATCTAAATTGATTCCGAATCGATCGCGTGTCTGTATAACTTGGTTGCGTATTTTTTAGTCGGATAAATTTTTCCCGTCTTTTAAGTCGACAAAGCAGGTGATCATCAATAACAAATAGAGTTAAAAGACATTGAGCATAAGTTTATATAAATGTTTGGGTATGATTATCGTTTTAAAACTTTGTTCATTATGAAGCACATAACTGGGAAAAAGCCTTGATAATGGCAGAATATATAAACCAACCAGAGTTATGCAAAAGATTGATCGATTATGTTGTTGTTGTCGGAGTACGGAATCCAACACTCGGTCTAACCGAGACACCAGAAACTTTAAGGAAATTCCCAACAGAAGATTACAATGATTTTTATTTTCCACCTGACGTTGTCTTCTTTTGCCAGCCTGAAGGCTCGTGTACAGTCACGAAGAAGATCTCTCTCAGACAAGCGATGACTTTCGTGTTCACTCTGACTGATAAAGAATCGGGGAAAACACGATATGGCGTCTGTATGAATTTTTTTCGACCGTGTTATGCTTCGTTGACAAACGAATTCAAAGATCCAAAGGGTCACGCCAATGATGAGAATTGTAGTGATACGAAAGGAACTAAATCCAAAGGAGTAACTCGTTGTATGTCTTTGACTTCCATCTGTATAATTTCCCATCATCCAGTATTTTCATCATTTCGCGAGTGTTTGTTGGTTCTACGACGAATGATCGAGTCTAGAGGTGTTAGTTATGATCTTAACTCGTCCTCAAAGCAAACATCACAAGCTCTAGATTGCTGGTCGTTGTTCCTGTGCAATGAAGACCCCAAACTCAGTCCTCTCCAGGAAGATATGCGTGAGATTGAATCATGGATACATCGATTACTTGTGACTCCAGTTCCCATTCCAGGAAGGACTGAGGTTGAACTAGAGTTGTTACCCCAGGAGTTACATCCAGCAATATGTTTTGCATTCCCTGATGCGAAGAGGTTTTCATTAGTGGACTTCCCGATTCATCTTCCACTTGAGCTACTTGGTGTCGAGACATTTCTTAAGGTTTTAACATGCATCTTGTTGGAACAAAAGGTATGTATGTCAGTATGTGTCTTCTATGAGGACACTATCATAAATCAACTTGTGTTTATATGGTCACATAAGTCAAGCAAGCCTGCATGGCTAACAGCCCTACTAAGTTAGATGAAGTTCGTCCTGCTTCCCGTGTGCTGAACAGCATTACAGACACATTGCCACAAAAACATGATATTTAATTATATATGTTGTTATACTTGCATGCTGACCAACACAACTACACAAGGACTGAATGTGTGAAAATTTCAAACCAAACAAATATATAACATGTAACAATTTCACTGACAAATATGTTATACAGATATGTTAAATTTATGAAGTGATTGATACATACCAAAATTCTGCAAGCAATAGTTGATATTTATCACTAGTAAGTGCCTAGAAGGAACATATTTCAAGCATCTTGTACCATTTTGTATCCACTTGTAGGTTGTATTTCAATCCAGAGATTACAATGCACTCACAATGACAATCCTGGCTATGTCATCATTGTTGTATCCTCTTGAGTATATGTTTCCAGTCATACCATTGCTACCTAGCTGCATGAACAATGCTGAACAGGTATTTCCACTTGTGATCTTAAACATGGTTAATGCTAATGTGGGTAATAAACTATTTAATGTTTACATGTTAAACCAGCATGCAGCTAGCAGCAACGCACTGACACAGTGTCACTGTTAGCGCTGCAAGTGTAGGATAGCTGACAAGAAATTTTGAAATCATGAAATTTGAAACACCTTGTATACATGGGTTAAAGATAAATAATCCGGCAAGTGGAGTTTAACAGTTGAGTCAATTCATGTTATAGCTGATTAACATGAATACACCATTACATTGTCTTAATTTAACAATACTATCAATATAAGTGTACTAGTTTACTCATTGATTTATCAAATTTATCTATTAAGCAGGTGATTCTCTGGTCACACACAATAATTCTCTGATCACACACATGACAATGCTGTTCTATTTTGTTACATGCAAATATGTTCGAAGCCTGAATAAAACAGCAATGTCACGTGTGTGACCAGAGAATCACCCAAGTGAAGAGAGCATTTTGCATATATTTGACATCAAAATTAATTTCAATTGGATGATATTATTGCATACTTTGGTATAATTTCAATTTGTGAAATTAGTTAAATTCTATATATAGCCATTTTAGTTATGACTCAATCTATAAATATTAGTTTTAGGAGAAAAACTCAAATTATTTTAATAATTCCTTATGTAGCTCCTCCTGGCTCCCACCCCTTACATCATTGGTGTCCCAGCAAGTTTTTTCAAGTATAAAACCAACGACTTCAGTAATCCACATGATTTGTGGATTGTTGACCTTGATTCCAACAAGGTCAGTTGATATATCTGTGATATATGTATTTCAATGGTCATAAACTATTATTTTAGTGTCTGTTTCAATCAGATTACAAAAAAAAGTTTTGATAGGTATATTGATGAATGATGACATTGTCATTGATATTTTCAATGAAAAATATTCAGCCTTGAAAAAAATATTTTTACTTTTATCTATAAACTTCCACCATGACATCTTACCGTTAACGTGATACAGTATCTAAGCAAGTGTTTGGAAACAAATGCCATATTCATATTTTAAATTATATCAAAATTGTACTTACTGTTTTTATACAACTTCCTCTTGGTGGACTTTTGTGAGTCAGTCATGTGCGAACGTTTTCCAATAAAAAGTGCTGTTTACTCAAAACCAATTCCTTTCATGTAGTTAAAAAAGAAAAGTTTTCAGTTATCTTTTTAAAAAAATTAGAATTTCTATTGAAATTTAACCGAAGTCACCGAGACCGAAGTTGATTTTTTTTCAAAACAACTTGCCTGCCATATTTGTTGTTTTTTGCGGGAATTCCAGGGGAAATCACATCACTCAAAATGTGTTCGCGAATTTGTTTACTTGCCTTCAACGTGATTGGCTCGCTTATTTCTGACGACCAATGAAATACGTTTGTTTCAAAATTTAGCGCATGCAGGACATTTGTTAATAGCAAAATTTGCCCAGCCAACCCAGTTAATAAAATTGTAGTCGTCTGTTGTTAAGGTCTGTTTGGTCTGTTCACACGAGCCAATTTTGTTGGATCCAATTCACTTCTGATGTATAAAATATTATACACTTAATGTATGCTCCTGAGGGAAATAGTGAGTTTTGTTTTCCCAGGGAAACATTGAGACTCGAGGGAAAACAAAACTCACTATCTCCCGAGGTAGTGTACATTAAGTGTTTTGTATATAGGAACAAAAACATACATGTTACACAACAATTTCATTTAAAAAAACCCACTTTACTTTGTTATGACAAGAAGCGGGCAAAGTCATGTGACTACGAATGAGATAACAAAGTTAGTTATTGATGTAGACCAAGTATTGCATTGGCTTCAGTGGATTTGCTGCTCATATACATTACAAGACAACAGACTAAATAATAAAACATGCTTCAGAAGTGAATTGGATCGTGTGATGAGACCTTTAATTACGTGCTGTTGTTTTGGATTTACTGCCCTAAAATCAACAAATCAGAGTTAGGAGACATTTTGTCACCATTTCGTGTTCACAACTGACAAGTGGTTATTACTAAGATATTTACGATAAGTCGATATACTCCCAAAATCTAGTTGAACTTGATTTTGAAGTCGTAGCTATATAGGCGAATCTTAAACTCTCTATTTTCAACATTTATACATGCATGCATACAGTACACCCAACATTTTTACGCACGTCTGGACCTATGTGGTTTCATGGAACTTATTTTCATGCTACACGCTTTTCTAAATAGACGTCAGCATGGTCCTAGCTAGTCACATGATCTGTGCGATTTTTAATGTGTGGTTAAATTTGATTATTTAACAAATACTTTATCTAAGTTGCCGTTATCTGTTCATGTAACTGATAGAATATAGGTGCAGACCGCTCCGCATATTTTGGCATCTCACGTGTAACCGTCGCTTAACTGATAATACAAATATTCAATAGATAACAGTTCCGTTTCAAGCAGATGAACTGCCTGAATTGCCAGAACCAGAAGCAAGCATTCTGAAAGGAAATCTTAAAAGGGTAAGTTTGTTTGATTGTCCCTTTTTTTCACAGTTTATAGATGTTAGTGTAGGCAAATGAATGAATGACCACTATAAATATACAATAAATGAGGACTAATGCCGTGTCTAGTACGCGGCACTGTTGCATGTCCGTCGATCACCTTTTTTGCCGCAAAGAGCACTGTGCTCAGCATGTTTATTTGAAACAATCTTGACTTTGGGCACTCGGTCTGAACACAACCTATAATACTCTATGTCGATGTATGTTTAAAGGCCCGTTTACAATTTTAGCTGCGATTTTATGTGCAATTTTCTTCTTTTGATAGACGTGAACGATTGGTTTAGTTACTGAAGTTTAAATAGGAGCTTCTATACATCAGAGCATTCGTAACTAAGTTCTCGTTCACATCTTTCAAAAGAAGAAAATGCATGGCAGCAAAAATCACAAAAGAATCACAAAAGTGTAAACGGGCCTTGAGGTTTTGAAAGAAGATCGTATATACTTCAATCTATAGATATACAGTTATTTCATTCTTAAACCTAAATTTTATTGTACTTTAGAAATTATAGATAATGCAAAAGTAATTACATATTAACACCGAATTTTGCGCAAAAAGTACTCGTAGTCACTATTAAAGCTACCCATATTAAATTCCGTACTTCGATATTTTTGTCAAGGCTCTTGCGTCGCTGTCCATACCACCTCAAACTATTCCCAACTTGGATGGTCAGTTTTCATTAAGCAACGGCTTCTCAGATGCGTTTAATAAAGTTCCTCTGGGGTTAACCAGTAATCATGTTGTTTATGGTAATGACGTAGACGCCGTCGACGTAGCAGTACGAGTGGCAATGACGTCATTTTTCTTAGCTCAAAATGTACTTGGTGGTCTTTACGAGCACACGAGAACGTTACGACTGTTTCCGAGACCAGTTGTTGCGGTCCAAAAAGATGCTTTTCTTCAGTCATTGCCAAACGTCTCCAAGTTCGTGATGGCGCTAGTTGAAACCCAGGTCAGGTGAAAGAAAGAAAAACTACTTCTGCTTCTTGTAAAATCAAATTGATTTTCACATATCGATTTTTACAAATTGATCTTTACAAAAAAAATCAATTGATTTTTACCCCAAACATCATGGAGCAATCCTTTACTATAGCTATAATAATGTGGCGACGATTGAACGGGTATATATGGGGGTGAATAGACCTTGAAGGAGTTTTATTTTGTATTTTAAACTCAACCATTAACTTTAAGGTATCTCGTTATTCTTAGAATGTTGAATATTTTGCTGAATGGTTAGTTTATCCCAGCAATATTGTTTATACAAGAATACAAATGGGTAAGTATACCGTCGTATGTCACTTGCTTATGATCACTTTGATCACTTTGATCACAGCAATGCACGCATGTGAAACTGTCCCAAGATTCCCATAACTTTACCCTTTTCTCACTCAGTGCAGTACTTTCGTCTTCGTCACTCAGACCACGTTTAAACGATGCCGGCATAATTTGAAAACGGTGTAAAAATTGCAGCGGTTCGAAAATGTTCCGTTTAGTGGTTGGGTTTTCACGATGCCGGTACAACACTATAATTGTTTGTCATGTGGCATTTCTTCTCCAATAAGAATTTAAACAAGAATATCGCTGCCAGAAAACATGACACCGAAAGGGCTAGTAGAGAGAAAACACAGAAGGACTGGCTGTAAGCACATGCAGCTATGTTGTTAAAATTAAAACAAAACACTTCTCTCACTTTGTCAGGAGAGTAGTAGGTCGAAACGGCGAGAAGTGTTTTGTCTATTTAGGCAGTGTTATACCACATTTGATGCTAAGTTGTATATATAATGGGCAATGCCCTACCCATATACCAAGCGCGAAGTAAAGTGATGATGTTGTTTTCAGGTATAACTGACCCGCATTTGGTAGGAGACAAACCACGGTGGTACAACTATAAACTGGATAAATTGAACTTCAAAGCTTTCGATCCCGATTCGAAACTATGCAACCAGGAATGGATCGCATACGAAACTGAACTGTTCAATGACATCTACGAGAGCGATGATTCGGAAGCGAGACAGCGTACATGTAGTATAGAAGATGATGACAGCAGTAGTTGCTATTCTTCCGTCAGTGATACTGTCGCTGAGATGTTTCGAGGAGATATTCACGGTGAAACTCCTTCAGGTTCAGTTAAACCACCGTTCACTCCACCAGACACAACCTCACCTACACCTAACTGCATGGCTAAACTTCAAAATGTTGATAACTTTTGGAATAACAATATAGATCGGTACGTATATACATGCATATTCTGATCTTTTAAGGTTTCAAGCCGGCCGATGTCCTGGCGGTAAGGTATAAACAAACGCTTGGTTTTCTTTTTGAAAAGATATATTTCTTAGTCTTCAAATACGACAAACTGCTTCATGTATCTAAAACAGTATCGGTTCGCTCTGGTTCAAAATACATGTGCATGAAATAGATCTATAGTTCGTGCTTATGCATGAAAAATCTAAAAAAAGCGAAATTTACAGCAAGCAGTTTATAAATCACCCGGCCTCGGCATTTTTATGAGTTGATCCGATGTGCCGCGACCTACAGTGACTGTAGAGCCATGGATTTTTTACAAACCCGCCTTGTACAGTATAATTATACTTATTCCAAAATACGCAGCGCATAAATTAGCTAGATTGAATTAATACATGTGTATTCCCTATTTCCATTGATATGATTAAGGTTTTTTTCACAAATGATTATCACGATGTTATATAGAAACCTTGAAAAGCAGCCAGGCTCATTAGAAGACGAAGATTTTATTGATGATATCGTTTACTCAGTTTCGAATCCACCATCTCCAATATTGAATAATCGCCGCGAGTCTTCAAATTCTGGCTCAAGTATAGTCAGTGATCCTGTCGCTAAGTCAGACATGACTGGACGGACTCATTCTGAAGGTAAGTACAGCATGTATATATGTAGTTGAGAACTATTAGATGTATGTATGTAGTTCAGAACTACCTGTATGTAAAAAATCTGATCGAAAATTAAGTCTCATGCATGTACACGGCTAAAAATTTTCAGTCCATCATAGTTTTACAGCACTGAACGATGTTGTGCTTCCAATATCGTTCATTATTGATAACAAATCTGAACAACATGGGCAGCACAACAATTTCATATCAATGTTGCATCAACCTGATCGTTTTTTGGCGTGAATGTTGGATTAAGCGTGATCGTGTGCATGCGGTTGATCATCAAAAAAGGCATCAAGACATGACTAGGTTTCCCTTTACTAGACTAAATGCAAGATCAATGACATATCCAGTCGATCAGGGCTTTAAATCCGTCGGCCGTTGGCTCCAATGTTTGACTGCAATCCATGATGCGCCATTCATTTTCATTGATAAATTTCCATAATGATCGATGTCCTATGTTTTCAAGACTATGCCTCTATTGACTAAGCCACCTTCATCATTCATCTTATATATTAATAAAAGCTTACACTTTTACTCTGTTTGCCTTTTAATAGTGAATGGCTTTCGTAAATTCAACAATAATTCCAGTCCTGATCTTCAGGCGAAAAGTTCTGTGTCAAGCGGTAAGATTTTGATTTTTCACGATTCCTCTACGCAGAGGTCCAGTGGTGGTAAATCATTAGCATTTACATATAATCGTCCACCTGGGCTGATTTAATTTTCTTCGCTTTATTTCTTTTAAAATGAAAAAAATATAATGTACTTGCATGCATGTAGCTATATTATACTGTTTTCTGTTTTTTCATGAATTGTGCATGAAAACTGCTTCTAAAATGGTTTGGTTTCAGCAGTTTATCCTTTAGTACAACAATTTCTTTACGTTTCAACCACTTTCTGTTTTTACTCCACATTCAGGTTCACCAACACCGACCAGATCGCGTACGATGGATGCAAAGCTCGCTAGCTTACAAGCAAACTCTTTATTCAAGCCAGTCAGTAAGGAGGGGAAACCAATATCACGGTAATTAATGAAAAGTTTTTACTGTTAGTTAAGACTGGTTTAGGCCAACAAAATTTTACATTTTTGATAATCAATCTGTGGCACTTTGAAGACGTTCACAGACCGTGCATGACAGCTGCTTTTTTTACAGCAGTTGCACTCTACCATGCAGGCATTCAAATAGGATAAACAAGTTTGACATGATGAATATTGTTCATGCGACCGGATAAACAATTATGAAGTCAGCTTCTGCATGTTATTTATTACGTTTTCTGTGCATTGTTTTGCAGTGAGGATCAACAGTTTCTACATGAAGTAGTGGCGTCGGTGCTGAATGCAAATGGTGTCGGGATGTTTAAGAAGAAACGATTGCGAGATCTTATGACGAAGGAGACGTGCAGACAGAATGTGGTGAATAGATTTTTACTGGAGATTTCCGATGATAAGAAATCTGATGTCGTATCTGATGTGGTATGTAGACGTTGCACGTGAAGTTTTATACGAGAGTATACACTCTAAGACTAAAGCATTACCGAATTGTTTTCCGTGCAAGATTGCATGATCCATGCACGAGAGATGTTGCGAGACTTTTGGAAACTCGTTTTAAATTCCTCGTGCAGGATTGCCTGATCCCGCACGGCTATTGACCAATCAAATTGCATCTCCGCTGCTGGAGATTAGGTTTACAATACATATGTGTAATGCATACATCAAGTATACAATGAATATACGCATGCATTCACACCACATTAATGCGGGTACCAACACAGGATTTAGTTACTAAATACTGCATGGATTGTAGCTAGCTATATTTCATGCAAGTTTAATTTACATGTATGTAAGTTGAACCAAACTTTTATCAAATAGTCCTTGGGATGTGCGTAATCGTTCAACGGACTTTTGTGGAAGATTCTTTACTCCATTCCAAATATATACCCTGTTTGCAGACCGACAAACAAACAAATTAACTGGTGTTCACAGGTAGTGCATGTAACCTTGAACAAACTGTTGTGCCTAGTGCCTGCATTGATGAAAATATCAAAGTACTGTGTGTTCAAATGATCGAAAAACGATTGGGAAAAGTTCTCAAAAGATCCATACTCATGTAGTGTGTCCACGATGTTTTTTATATATGTGTTCCTCTATAATTTTTTTTCTCCCATTATTTTTAGCGTGTTCATAAGAGCGTGCTGAGGGGTATGTTAGAGACTCTGCGAAGTGTTGTGTTTGGGCTGGAAAATAGTGTTTCAAATTACTGCCTCGGTCGAGTAACCTCGGCGTACCATTTCCTTCGTATTGCGCACACACACTATTATGGTCGTGAAATCAAGAATATCGACCTCGAGAGCGACGACAATTCCCGACTATCTCCGGCGGATAGTATTTCGAACCTCTCGGATACATCAGATACGACTGTGTCAGCAAATGAAAGTGGAGGTGAGCCTCTTTTTTGTCGTGTTGTTTTGCGTTTGTTGTGTAAGGATTAGGGACTTTTAGGGGGTTATGTTATAGGATTAATATGCTGTCTTCTTCCTTTTATGAAATATTGTATATCGTTATTGTGTCATGTTGTCTAGTTCAGTATTTTGAAAGTACTAAAGTATAAAAGTACAACGAAATTGTCTCCAATTATTCACATGTCTTTCAACAACATATCTTAAACGGATCTAGGCTCTTACCTATGTGTATTTTGATTATAAGTACGGCGAAAGACGCCTTTAGATTTTACTCAACTAAGGAGAAGCAAGACAACGTCTTGAACATCTTCTCATCAATTTATCTGGTGTAATATCTGCCTGAAATACTGTAGATAAATAAACTTGGCGATAAGCTACATATTCCTGCAAATTGCGTATGGATTGCTTGACATGTTTTGTGAAACAACTCTTTATATTGTGTAGACCGGTCTACGTTGGTAGTCAGTGACAGTGAGCAAGACAGTGGTCATTGTGATGCCAGTGAAGTCTATGGTACAGATATTGATTCTGTAATGACGCCAATGTTTGCAAACAAGTTTGAAGAAAAAACTTATCGTCATCTTCACCTTGGTCGAAGTAACAGCGACGTCACGGATGTGAATTGTGCAGAAACCTCAGAATTTAAAACGAACTTAACGCGAGCGTTGTCGAATGTCGAAACACATCTGTCAATTCCCTCTAGCAACGGGAGAACATCCCCGAGTGCAAGTCCGCGTCTTGGGTCCAGATCTTCAGGCTGTAGTCCAAGACTTGCTCATATGAAAATGACTTCAGTGAGTAGCTCGTTGAAACCAGGAGCCTCTTTACCCAATGTTGATTTTCTTGCTCGGAAAAGTGATCTGAGTGAAGGATATAGATTCTGTAATGGGGAACTTATCGATGTTAGTGACGGAATGTCCAAACCTGGCGTGGTTACTGGAAGAAAGTACTTGTTTCAGGGATTGCTTGCAGAACGATCCTCATTGTGGGATAATATGGATTTTTGGGAGTATTTATTTATGGATGTCGTAGCAGCTGAACGTGATGCTCTGGGGATGAATCAAAACCACGGAGAAATGATTGAAAGGTTTGTGTTTCCTTCATGATAAATGATGCTAATATATCTCTTGCTTAAATATCATGTTTTAACTAACGTATTATACACTAATGTATGCTCCCGAGAAAAATAGTGAGTTTGTTTTCCCAAGAGTCTGAATGTTTCCCGAGATTAAGTCGAGGGAAACATTGAGACTCGAGGGAAAACAAAACCCGAGGTAGTGTATACTAAGTGTTTTGTTATATATAGGAACAAAAACATACATGTTACACAACAATTTTATTTAAAAAAACACTTTGTTTTAACAAGAAGCAGGCTACAATTTTTCACTTCTTTCCCTGGCGGGAAACATTGCAATTATTTAAAGTTATCCTATGATCGGCTGACTACATTACTTTCTGGGTGTTTTAGATATCGGTCTCTTGGTCATCTGGAACAAAAACGTTTAGAAGAAGATGAAGATAGAGTCCTGGGAACGACTTTGTTTAATATTGCTGCGTTCATGATTCATATTCAAGTTAACAAAAATGATATGAAGAGGAAAATAAGACGAATCATTGGTAAAGCTCACATTGGATTGAACCAAAGTCAGTCTGTGGGTCAGCTGTTAGCACAATTGGACTACGTTGTAAGTTTATGATTGGTTTAATACCAATTTAACCTGTTCTCTACTGGGCGAAAAACCATTTCGGGAAAGCGTGTAGTCAGCGAATGCTTAGTGGTCTTTCGTTAACCCAGGTTTAGAGTAATCAGCTTTCGCATAACCGGCGCATATCCCATAGAAAAACAGAACGAAAATCCGAAGAAACAATAGAAATTTCGATAAATTATAAAAAATAATATAAATTACCCCAAATTCTAATTTCTGTTTCGAACAAATTATCGACTGGCCGTCGCCAACGCTGTATATGTACGTATTGCAAAAAATCGTTGACTTTGATTATGTAAGTCTTGCATTGCATAAACTGTAGTATAGAAGCATATATACGCCAAGATGTATAGAAGCATATACGTCAGGACGCAATCTGCATGGTAACGTAATAGCTATGAATTAATAAGTAGGCTGGAATATGTTTGACCGCTCAAATCCTCCAATGCACACTGTCTTCCCTTCTGATTTTTCTATTTTCTTTTATAGCGAGGCAACGACGTGGATTTGCGTCCAGACTGCAGCCGTTTGATGACAAAGAAAACATTTGTGGTTCATTGTGGTAGTAATCTTATTGGAGATGTTTATTTCATGGAGGTAAACTTATAGTTCGATACAGCGGTGCAATAATTAGAAAAAATAATTACAAAAAACAACTCGCTGTGAGTAATTTTGTCGAATGCTTGATTGGATGCAAACACTGCCAGCGAGTTGCGAATTGATTTCGCGATGAGTGGGAAAGGAGCCTTGAGACTACTTGTAGATATACGATTAACAAAACCTGAAACATTTGCGTTGCCCATTGTCGTTTGCCATTCACACATTGATTTCCAATTTATTTGCATAAAGCGATCCTCCTTTTCTTAGCAAATTTTACGAATGACTTTGTTTAACGTAGGTTTATGATGATTGTATATTACTACGAGCACCATCTGGTGCGATTCTTGAACGATGGTGGTATGAGAAACTGGTGAACATTACATACTCACCAAAGACAAAGATGTTGTGTTTGTGGTACAGACAGGGACAGGACACGCAATTAAACAAGTTTTGTACAAAGAAGGTATTGTGTCTCCGTTTGTTTTCTCAGTAAACGCAAAACCAACCTCGTGCCTACATGGAGCACTGGTCACGAGGCTGGCATACAACAATCTTTCACTATAAAGTACATATTAATGTATGCTTTTCTCTATTAAGAAAGTATAACACGACAGAACGTGCTGTTTTGTTATATTCTTATTCTGTTGTTGTCTTCTCTAGTGCAAAGCCCTCTACTTCTGCATCAAAGCAACAATGCAAAGAGCAGCGGAAAGATTACAAGGTTTAAGAGCTGGTGAGTATTTTGGAGGAATTCGTGCTGTCATTTATTCTTGTAATCTTTTTCTTTTATTTCCAAGTCAATTGTAATGAGCTTTTATAATAAATAGAAAACGATAACATCTGACATTATTAATCTATTTTTGATATAGTGACTACAAGACTAAACTGTTCAACGTATCTATGACTGACATGTCAACTGTTTACGTAACATGACTTCTTCCTTTTGCCTTTCTTAATCATAGAAAGTTTTCATTTTACAGTATTTACAATAGCTCAAACGACTTTTAGATATACAACGTACATGCAGTTGACGCCGCTTGCATTACAACTGAATTGCAGTTCATCAGTTGATCAGCTGCTATTTCATTCCTGTCAAATCATCTGAAGGCTCACTTCTCGCAACTACTTCGTCTTAAAAAGAACATTATCTCTTATGTTATGCTCTTCATGTTATTCTTCTCACTTAGTTGTCTTCTACAATTTAGTCATTAAATCTCGTCCCCATATGACAAGTTTTTACTGACTATGTTTTTATCCCCTCACAGGTCCACAACTTGGAGGAAAATTTCCTGCTCAGGTAGAAATTCTATACTGTTCTATACCCAACCTTATCCTTGCACACCCTCTCTACTATATTTTTAGTCGAAAGGTGCGAAGTGTCCAGAAAAATAGCTTCAACTTGCTTCACTAATTTATGTACCTAAATATAGTATAGTATATCTCACACGAATAGTTTATTACTCTAAGAGGGTTTATGCTGCATGGATATAGTGCTACCTATCGCATAGTGTTTTTTTTTCAATCGCTTTAAAATTACCCATTTTTCGGTACAACTCTGAATTAACTACTTCTTTTGTTAATCGAAAACCAATCTAATTAAAAAAAATTTTAAGGATGTTGACAATGGCCAGGTTGGAATCCTTGAAGTTTCATTGGATGGAATAACTGTTAAATTTAAGAACAAAAGGGTAAGTGCAGTATACCCTGTATAAAATGTTGTATTCACATTATTATTACCAGTGCTAACGTGTACTGTACATGTTACAAACAAGTCTGGTGATGATGCTCGTTGTTATGATCAAAACATACAGCTTATCTCCATGCATGGTTGTAATTTTAAATACGGATACTCAGCTGTTGTTTTCGAGCCCAGGTCATGTATGCATTTACTTTACCTCATACCCGGGACTTTTAACCTACGTTTCGCGGTTGATCATGCATATGGATATCCAATGTGGTATAAAAAGGTTATTAACGATCCCCAAGTATATGCATGTGATCCCGGGATTGGCCGTTCAAAGATTGATGATTAATTTAAGAATTGATTTCACACGTATTCATCGAAATATGATCCCGGGATTGGCCGTTCAAAGATTGATGATTAATTTGAAGAATTGATTTCACACGAATTCATCGAAATATTCTTAATTTCAGACTCATCTTCACCTGAACTGCATCAAAAATTGCTCAACACAAAAGGGGATTCTTGTCATTGATGAGTTTGGTAGGTGTCTTCTAAAATCCTGTGCCTTCTTCTACCCAGGTTTCAGGATCGTGCATACAATATTCCATGAGATTTTAAACTTTCTCCGAAGCTTCTTATGTATCGAATTCGACAACTTCAGTTACTTCACGTGCTCAAACCCATTTGTTTATTTAATTTCTTTGTTAAAATTCGATAGATCCCGTTACACAAGAAGAAATTCAACATAGATTTAAGTCGTCTCTGGTGAGTATAAACGAAATTTTTATTAGCAATTTAATAATTTAGTTTTTTTTAACACTAAGATGCTGTAATTTACGTCTAGATGTAAAAATTATCCACAGATTTAGGGAACTTGAACTTAACCATTTCGGCAAACCGCTAACGGTAAACTCCAGTTTGACATTACTATAGGTTCTAATACTTTCACAGCCAAACTCTATTGATGTAGCTAATTATTTTAGGTTTTTCACGACCTAATTTAACTTCTAAAGTTACCGTTTTCTCTGTCTTGGGTTTGGCTAAAATAACTCGAAAATAATTCTCTTTAATTCACTTTATTGTTCAACTTGTGTAATTCGGCTTTATATTTCCAATGGAAGCAAAATAGTTTTAGGTTTAAAAGTGCTTTGAAGTATTCCTTCAAACGTTTCATAGGTCAGTAATTTTCTGGCCTATTCTGGGGTCCTGAATGCACACAAGTTAAGGTCTAGAGCGTAGGAAATACTCTATGTGAAGAATTATCCAAGTCAAACCAGGCGCAGATCAAACCAGGCGCCATTTTGAAAAGTTTAGTCAATTATTTAAATGAAATTGAACAAATATTGAAATGTCCACTGCACGTGATTATACTTGAGTCGCACTCATTAGTATTTTACAAACACTTGTTTAATTGTAGCAAATGAGTTATGCTTTCTGTTACAGCAAACGAAAAGCTCTGAAAATACCTGCTGTTATAACATCGACATGTTTTTCTCTTTATGCAGGCCAGTGATATTTGCTATGCAGTCTTGTGTCTCTTTTCCTATGCTGCTGCATCAAAAGGTCTTCAAGTTCGTTCATAAAATCACGTGACAACCTCATGATCGACTGGTCGACCAGCAGATATCGTACAGAAGATACAAGAAGAACGTCTTCTCTTAAGACAAACGTGTAGCATCCGAGCGGCTGAGTTCGTGTAAGAAAGTAATTGACGTAAATATATTTATGTATATTATCATTTAGCAGAGGATTCAATTGCAATTTCTGATTCTCCTGCATGAAGTCCAGGCTACTTCATTTTCCAAAATGTATAACAGTAGATTTTTATCTATCGGTCATGATTCGTCGGACACTCGGTAAGTGTCGTAAACAGACGTAATCGTCACTATTTAAAATAGCCTTGTTCCGGTGGGGGGCGATTACTTCTTTTTACGGTGCTTTTAATTTTGACGGACGATGGATCATAATTTAAAAGGTAGCGTGCAATCGGATATGCGCAGCGGTTTTACTTATTAAAAATTGCCCAAATTTCGCATATTCCAAATTTTCTTCGACGCGAACCTCAGTGGCGAACTCTAGTTCAAATTCATTCGAAACGATAGCGGACCAATATTTTGACAGATACTGTAAGTTTATATAATACCATATTGAAAAAAAAATATTGTGGTTTTTAAAAAGTAAAAAAAGCGTTTGTTTACGTTTTACGTTTGTTCAATCGTGCTTAATAGCACGGTCATGATTCGTCTCACACTCGGGAAGTATCGTATAAGCAGACGTGGTCGTCACTATTTAAATTAAGTAACTTTGGTCCAAAGGGGCGATTACTTCTTTTTACGGTAATTTGTTGACTGACGGATCTCTGTGCATGCGAGTAAAACTTATGGCTGCTTTCCACTGTCGCGTTTATTCTTTTATAGGCGGACGTATACGCACGTAAAAAATAAAATCATTTCAGTGTTACTTATGAAATCAACGATTAAATAGACGCATAGGGCTGGGTTCTGTTGATGATTTGATGTGTTTCCTCTGCCATAAAATTAATTGTAGAACAACAACTTAGAAAGTTTTAAGCCTTCACGTGCGTTTACGCACGTGCAAAAACGCGGCAGTGGAAAGCTGCCCTAACGCCAAAAATGGAGATGGCTGTGCGGAATTCTGCATTTGCTATTGTATTACATTGTGGCAAATTTTGTATTACCTCTAACGAATCTCTCCATACATGTTGGATGCGATCGAGATCGAGGGCACAAGAATCTGCCCAAGACTAGTGACAACGATTGAACCATCGCATAATTATTGTGTATAAACGATTATTTATAAACGAATAAAGTGTAGAGAATTCATACACTGCACTGTTTGGTGACACCAGCAATCTAATAGTTCCTAACGGTTTTAGGACTGCATCTCATGTGAAAAAAGTAAATTGTAAATCAACTTCGTTCTCGCGGTTGATGTAAAATCACTGAATTCAATAGGAATATTTAAGGCGATTCGCCATTATACGTCAGCGAAGCGTGCTTTGTTTTTCAGGCCCGTCGCAGGGGCAGATTTTCACGGGTGAATAGCGAATTGAGTACGCGAGCGAATTGAGTACGCGAGCGCAAGGACCGCGTGAAAACTGTGAATGGATTGCGCATTGCGCGCATTTATGTTTGCATCATGTCATTTATCCTTCAGTTTCACTTGGTCTTTGACGTCTCCGTCCTCAGTATATAAAATTACAGTTGATGGTAATCCGTTCCCGGCGGAAGAGGCTTAATTGAGTAGTATAGAGTGTATTCTGTAATTTGTGTATTTATTAGAATATATTCATTTGGATATTTACAAAATTAGTTCCTGCTTCAACGGTCTGCACGAATATGGATTGGAAAGCAAACATAGTTTTGCATGCCTGCATGTATTACTCATTATATCAATAGGGAATGTTTGACGAGTGTGTATGACAGTTGAGAGGACTAGAACCTAACGCCAATTTCCTACGTAAAATTATATTTAATATTTTTTACCGAGGAAAAAGTGGGGAAGCATGAACCAGAGACCCCAATGGCTCCGCGGTCCATGATATATATTTTTCCGTAATTGTGTAAGAAACAGTGCAATTATTTATAATTATTAATAATATACATGGAAAAAATTTAACAGCAGCTTTGTGTTTGCCAAATTGTTTTTGCATGGAACTTGCCACAAACTGCATTGCTCGCCACTAATCAATGACAATTTTCCATGTATATTTGTATTATTTCGTTGATAATTTATATTTAGAAACATAATTATTATGCTTAGCCTAAAACAATAAGAAGAAAATAAATAAAAATTAAATTCATTTACTTCTTCTTCTCGTTTGTTTTTTTAACTAAATAAAGATGGTTTTCAGTGAATCATGCATGGATTTCCCTTTATTTAAAATTAAATTTAAAACTAGAGAATTGGCCAAAATCCTCGTTTTAGCACACCCGACTTGGTGTGCTAGAATAATGTACCAGATCTACCTACACAGACAATATTTAAAATAAATTCCAGGATATGCAATGGAGCAAAGGGTTTCATTCGTTTCATTGCACCAATAACTCCCCCCCCCCCCCCTCCCACTTTCTTCTTCAAAAATTTTAATGAGAGGATTTTCATCGAGTTTTCCTTTAATTACTTCTGAACACGTTTGTCCAAATATTCGGCAAATCAATTATATGTATTGAAAATAGAAGTTATCCTAGATAGAACCCTGAGGCACTCGACATTCATGCATGTGATATATTTTAAGGCTGGGTAATTTCCCGCCGAGTCAAAAATTCCAAATTGTTCATTGATTTTATGTAAAAAGATGCAACAGTCAATTATAGACATACGCGTCAAACGGGACAAAATCGTCAGGATGGCTACGTCACTCATGACACATTTGGGTGAGAGCGGCCTGGTACTCGTTAATCACCGGCAGTCGGCGATGTTTGGTGGCCTTTGGCGACGAAACGTTGTATAAACTAGGGAGCTTTAGCAGTGACTACGAGTACGAAATTTATCATTCTCGCGCGTCGTGTGCTTACACTGTTATTTTCAAGGTGTTATTTTAATACCCTATGAAAGGTTTTTAAAGGTATTAAAAATTTTGAACTATTTTAACCCCAATATTGGGATTAAAAAACACCTTATTGGGATTAAATTAGCACTATATTGGAGGAGATTAAAACTTACGCCATAATGCAAAACTCGTTGTCGTCGAGCTTTTGAGTTTTTTCATAAATTTTGTACTCGAAAGTCCAACGACTACGAGTTTTGACTGATGGCGTAAGCAAACAACGCGCGAGAATGACGAATCTCGTACTCGTAATCGTACTCGTAGTCACTGCTAAAGCTCACCAATAACAAAGCCATGGTCAACTGTCAGTGAACTAAGGGAACTCTGTCTTTAGAGTTCAGTGGACGAAAACCAATTTGAAACTTTGATAATATAGAGTTTTCAAACAAGTGCTGGGAAGGAGTTGGGATTTTTGTGACGTAACTTAACCAGTTTTCCAAAGAATGATTTTGTTTTTGACTGACAGGCAATCTGAACAAAGTATCTTTATTAACGACGACGTTTTTGAAGTTTTTCTTCTGATAATTACATAAATGCATAGATTAGTTTGAATAAAAGCCTTAGATGGGTGATCTCTTTATAGTTAGACTTGAAAGGGCTTTCACATGCACTAAAACAAACGCTTTATAATACTATCACGCACGTGTTTTGCTGCCAGCGTGTAAGATTCTTATAATTATAAAACTTCGCTTGTTAACAATAGTGTAAAACTCTTAGTTTCAAATATATACGTGGCCACATGCAGCTATGTCATATTTGACAATAGAAACCTTTGATCACAATATTTGCTTCAAAGACTTTCACATATAGAATCTTTATCAGTGAGAGGATCTGACAACCAACCCTCGCATCACTTTAAAATAATGTCAACAGATAGCTACCGTTCCGCCGGATCTAGTTGCGAATCTATGGCTATATTTTAGGTAGCTATAACTATGGCTATATTTTAGGTAGCTATAAGTTGTACTAGTTAACTACAAAATACTCGATTCTGTTGCCTACTTTTCTTTGTTATTAGTCACTCGATTTTAATTCCATAACATCGATCACGTAATCTTCATCTCCAAACCAAACTTACTCAGTTTCCGTTCTAAATCTCATCGGGTCGCTAATAAAGTTTAATCTCCACTTTGTCAATATCGTCGACATTGACAACGATATATAAAATAGTCCAGATTTTCTTCGATTTCATGTTTTCGTCTATATTCTGCTATTAAATGTGTTTTTGGGTAACAGCCTTATGGAAAATCAAGCCTGTCGTCTCTAGCAAGTAGCTAGATTGTTTTAAAAGCCTTTGTTTAAAGACGGTTCACTTGTAAAACAAAACAGATTTTTGCAAACATTTTATGCATGCTGCATAATTTTGTGTTGGGAAAACACCGGCCTTAAGCTGGTTCTGAACTGTTGAGAGAATCAGTGCCAATCGCTGTTTTCTGCAAGCTTGTGATAAAAAATCGAGAACAGGGATTATGGTATTGATTATTATTTTGATGATTAAGGGTACTCAGATGGAAAATTTATTCAAGTTGGTATAAATACGAACAGAAATATTTGTTTAAAATATAAGTCGCAAAGAACATTTTGATATGATTTCCGTTGTCAAATAAAAGATGAAGGATTCTTTATCCGCTCACTTGTTAGAAAGAAAAGATCTCAATATTATAGTATACTTGCATGACTTCATAAACAATCTTTCAAACGTTTAGCGAATAAAATGCCACAACGTGTTTTAATCACTCTGATTCATCAATACAAGCACAGCGCTGGTCATTAGGAATACAGTTTACTTCTGACACTTGTCCAGGGCTGATCAAAAGATATAACGTAAGGAGAATATGATTATGTCTCGTTCACTGATCTGTGCTGTTATATTTGTTTGTTTTTCGACTGCATACGGGCATACCCAGCATGATCCACCAGTTCCAGCACCGGTTGATATGTTATCAGGTCATCAACACTTCAGCGACAGCGGAGACCACGATGCGTCCTTCGACCATGATATGTTCCTTGGAAGAGACGAAGCTAAAAAGTTTGAAAATGTTGATCCTAAAATTGCGAAGATCAAATTGAGGTAAAATCAATATGAAATACAATGGTGGTAGAGTAATATGCTGCTCACAGTAGAGAATTTCACTGTATTTGAGCTTATTTGCCTACTGTGTAATTATAGTCAGCGAGTATACAAGGGGACAACCTTATTAATAAAATGTATTTGACAATTTAAACTGTTGAGCGAAGGTCCAACAGGTCTAGAAGACATTAAAAATTGATAGATCTTATTCAGTGCTGTAAGCTTGTCCAAACTCGAGATTTTGTTCGATAAATATAATCGGTGCTTGGAAATTAAATCGGCCGGACAAACGAGCAGTAATTTACAAACAGCATTTTAATGAGAATCCTAATATGGAATATTCAGGGGGGTAAGACTTCTTCGTCAACTTACAGTCAACTGTGCGTGCGGATGGCATAAAAATCGTAAACTTTTTTTGATATAAGATCTATATAGAGGGGGAGTTCGAGCACAATTCATGCTGGAATAATTCTGAATTATACTTATGTGGTTATTCTGTTAGTATGAAAAACCTATTTAAATTCTCTATTTTCACCATTTCTCACGTCTACTCTTAATATTTGCTTATGCAAGTTCTCGTTGTCAGTTTCTAAACCCCCTGCTTGTGGTGGAAAAAGTTCATCCTCGAAAGATATTAACTTTGTTCTTATAAACGACAAAATTGTTTAACTCCATACCATTCCTGGCTTATGGCAGCATATCGAAATTCTAATGCTATGTACTGTCATCAACTTTGAACAGATAGATCTTTAGCCGAGTATTCAATTACTTTTGCTTAATATGTGTATTATATTGTGTTATTACGTATTTGCCCCTGAATTACAATTATGACAAGTCTTTCAGAAGAAGTTAAAATTAAAATTCCTAGAGAAAAAAATTTTTGTACTTTAAAGAACAAGGGGATCTTCTTGGAAATTTCCTTAGACCTTAGACCCTAACTGCATACAATAGACTATATGATTATACAGTCACACGGTATTTAGAAAAATTTTTTTGCGAATGTTTATCGCATTCATGAATGCAACTGATTTGGGTGTCATTGGCATGTTTTGTGCGGAAAATGGCGCAAAAAACACATTAGGAATCTAATTATCGTCATTAGACAATGTTAATTGGCCTACTAAAAGGAGGACATCGTCGCTGATTTAAGATTCAAATATTTTAAATACATGATACAATGCCAGAAAAATAATTATTTCTCTTTCCTTTGAAACAATTATAGACAATCTCTAATCTGTAAATCAGCTTGTTGGTACACCACGTTGGTATTTAATACTTCAAATCTTTCGGTCCGTTAACCCAGGCCTTACTCAGTGCATAGTTATTATCAGTGCAATAGAAGGCCCAGGTTAACGGACCGAAAGCTTTGCAGTATTAAACACCTACGTGGTGTCATCTACAAGCTAATTTACCTATCGATCTCACCATGCAAACATACAAGAATGTTAATATCTAATCTGCAGTAATTTATTCCAAATATATGTTAATGGGTGTCTTACAAGCGTCCTCGGCAACCAGGACGAAATTTATAAAAGTTATCTTAAACCATTTAAAAACTGCCTTGGGTAGTAATTTAGTAATGACGTTCATGTATCTTTCAAAATTTCTTCCTCAGGGAAATTGCTAAGAAAATAGACGTCAATCAGGATGGTAAAATTAATGCGCAAGAAATGGAAAATTGGATTGGAGGAAACATGAAAAGATATACCCTGAAGAATACCAACGATCGTTTGAAGAAATGGGACACAAACAAAGACGAGCATGTGTCGTGGAGTGAATACATTTCTATGTTTTCTGGAAGTAATATTCCAAAGAAAGAACGCTTGAAATCCGACGAACGTCGCTTTGACGTATGTTTATATTATTGTTTTTATAAGTTGCTCAATATGAATAAATTATGGAAAGCTTTTTTTTCTCTAAATTGTCCTTCATCCTAGTTCATTGCACAGTCCTTGTTTTAATTGTGATTATGGAAAAGTTTGATACTTCGAGCCTTTGTGTTCTGGACAAATTACATTTCCTAAAAATGCAAATTTTATCTGAAAAATATATTTCTTGAAACTACTAGAGAACAGTTTTCTTGCCACTGGTAAACCGTGGTGACTTTCGGGTAGTGTCGCAGCTCCTCGCAAGAATGATTTTTTTCGGCTGAACCTTAAAATACATTTCTTTTTTAACAAATAGCATAGCGCTAGCTTCGTTCTTTAGAAAGCATAGAAAAGCATTATCCAATTGGACGAAAGCTTCTGAGTACTGCGACATGTCTTTGACTTTCCACAACACAAGAGTTAAAATTATTCACTAAGGCTGTGCGGTGAACCAAAATGTCGGATCCCAGCACTGTCAAACGGAAAAAAATTATCATGTTTTTCCATAATTTATTCCTATCTAATCACCTTAACAAAAATCAAACATTTAATGCACAAGAGTGGTGCGGTTATGCATGCAAACAAGAAGATAACACTTTAACGATAAGACATTTTAAATAAAATAACCCAACGACCGCAGTGCATTCATTTTGGAAAAACCGAAAAGGTTATAACTTTAAAGGTAAAACTTAAGTCGTTCAAATTTGTATGGGGTTCCCCTCTTCTCTTCTTAACGTGAAACACGATTGTTTTATTTTGTTTAGAAAGCCGATATGAACGGTGATGGTCTTTTAAGCAGAGAAGAGTTGACATTTTTCTTGCATCCTGAAGAAAGTTCACTGATGACCGACGTAATAGCTGAGGTAAATACAGATTCTTCATGAATATCGGCCAATGAATACCTTTTTTAGCAAATGTAGGAGTTTCCAATCCACAATTACGAAAGATGACTGGTGTAAAAAGTACCAAGGAAATCCCATATCCTAAAATTAAAAAGTAGCAATAAAGTCTCCTGAGTACGTGGTCTTAACGCAAAAGAGAAACTAACAACCATTTCTATTTCATCTTCAAAGAAATTTTATTTACTTCATAAACAATGCCGGGGAGCAGGCATTCTTGAAATGCGCCATTTTCTTCCCCCCCTCTCTAAATGCGCCATTTTCTCCCTGCAATTGTGGAATGTCGTTTTTAATTTTGTCCTGCATGTCTTTGTGAAAAAAATTTCAATTAAGTTTTAGCCGTTTTTATAAAGATACACTGTCAGTATTGAGCTAGCAATAAATCGTAATGCCTGGTTAATGTGTCAATGAATAGTTAAATAATTTCGTGCTTTGGAATGAATAAGGACTATTTTATTTCATTGTTTCAAAGGAAAACCTGGAATCTTTGGACTCGAACAAAGATGGTGTACTCTCGCTTAAAGAATTCGCAGGTAATAGTATCTTTTATAACTCATGCAGTACGTACAACAGGGTACCAGTTATTAAACGTTAAATGTTAATCCTTTTCGAATGATGGGATTTACGGCAAACAACAAGGAAATCAGTTAAACATTAAGGCCTTCTCAATCAAACAATAGACAATGACTTTAAAACTTTCTGGGAGTGCCGGGTATAGTGCCTACCAAAGTATTTGAGTGGCATAATGACCAAAAATCCAAAACAACCGCGGTATAGTATATATAGTAGACGACGGAGGAAATAATAATAATCGCGTTCTAAATCTGCAGTAGTTGTGGTATGAAAAATTACTTCCTAATAGCGCATTAGTTCTTAGCATAATATAACAACCATAATTATATATCCTGTGTATTGTCGTTCTGGATTGGTCAGAAAGAGTCGGTTAATTCTCAATATACGTAATTTCAGCTACTGCATGACGTGCTCAGCGTCCAATAATTATTTTTTGGGATCGATCTTGCATCGAAGAAAACAATCATTGGACTCTCGTGCCCATACCTTGGCGCGCCAGCAACTTGAACCCAAAAGAACGGGAAAATAAAGTTAACGTTGATAAAATATGATAAGCATTAATAGACGTTATATACGTAAGCATTAGTCGTTTTATACGTACTACGTTTTTGATATCTTTAAAAGTATAATAAAACAATTATCGGATTCGGCTTTTGAATGATATTATACACTTAATTAATGTATGTTCCTGAGGGAAATAGTGAGTTTTGTTTTGCTAAGAGTCTGAATGTTGAGACATTGAGACTCGAGGGAAAACAAGACTCACTATTTCGTGAGGTATATAGTGCATATTAAGTGTTTTGTTATATAGGAACGAAAATTATACATGTTACACAACAATTTTATTTAAAAAAGAAACCCACTTTACTTTGTTATGACAAGAACCGGGCAACAATTTTTCACTTCTTTCCCTGGCGGAAAACATTGCATTTGTTTACAGTCATGTGACTACGAATGAACCAATCACATTTAAAATACACAGACCCTATTAAACAAAACGAATTAATCAGACCTCGGTCAACGTTATCCACCTCAGATTTGCTTCGGCAGATAACAATAACCTCGGTCTGAATAATTTTTGATATCATGCTCAACCTCGTCCATTAATTGTTTAGTAATTTACTACTTGTATGTTCTTCAGGTGATACTCATGGAAAATTAAGTGAATCTCTTGTCAATGGAGTGGCAAGTCACTTTAGCCAATTGGACCTCAATAAAGACGGGAAGTTGAACAAGGTCAGCATAAAAGCTTTTTTGATACACCAATTTTTAGTTCTTTGGGGTACTTTTGTCTCTATTGACGTCCTGCTTGCATTGTTTCTTCACAATAGAATATCTGTGATTTCGTAAAACGAATGTTTTCTTGCAATTCCCTTCGGGGGCTATAAGGACGCTCGAATAAACAAGCATAGCTAGTCATTTCCGTAAATCCTGATAAAGTGATCCGGGGACTTATTCTACGACGAGGGATTAATGAACAAGTTTTAGTGGCCGTTGTAGCCTTCCACACGCGGAACAAACAATCTTGCATGTTCAAAATGAAACGTCATGGTAGTCAACATTGACATTTAAAATTCAAAATTTTATTTTACCTCCTTTAACAGGAAGAATTAGTTCCTTGGGTCGTTCCGAATGAGTCAAACACGATTAGCAACGAAGCAATGCATCTTCTCAGTCAGGCTGATGGAAATATGGTGAGATGAGTTATTTCAGTTATTTCTTTATAACCAGGGCCTTTGCACGCGTTAGCTTGCAAGCAGGTTACACACATTTTACTACATATTATTTAAAGAAACATCATGATTGATATGAAACAACAAATGCCGTCATCAGTGGCGTAACTAGAACGATAATTGGGGGGGTGAATATTCATATATCCAGTTCTGCCCTACGGATTTCTTTTGTAATTGCAATAGCTTACAATAGAAATCCGTCGGGCAGAACTGAATATATGAATATTCACCCCCCCCCCCCAATTATCGTTCTAGTTCCGCCCCTGGCCGTCATACGATTTTATGAAACAGATTCCTTTGACGGCAAAAGTAAATTATTTCGACTTTCGTTTTGAAGGAATATTTTGCATGCGAACTTCCACTCGTCGTAACGGCGAACTGGCAAGATCGCTGCGAGGGTTTACATAAAAATGCTTAATTACAAGCAAGACTCTCAGCGAGCTTGCGACTGTGTGTTTTTGATGATTGGAAAAGGCCTTTAATGGGAATAATAACTAACGATTTTTCTGTAATTATTAAATAAGGATCACGTGTTATCGTATGATGAAATGGTGGATAAATTTGAAGCATTCGTTGGAAGTAAGGCTACGCATTATGGAGATCTTCTGAAACCGAATCCGGATTTATAAAATTAGAGAAAAGAGAATGCAATAAGAACAAACCTCGGAAGATATCAAACAATGCAGGTATTGCATTAAATTGCGAAGAATACGTTTTTATTTATTGGATTATTTGATCGCGACCAGTATATCCTGTAATTATACGATTTACCATTTAGATAATATTATTTGGATTTTTATATACTACAATCGGCGTAGATTAATTTAATATTCGCAAAAAGTCACTCTAAAAGTCCGGTCACATGATCCAATTTTGTCGGATCCAATTCCCTTCACTGAACTGTATAACATGGAAGGTTACCTCCAGTATCTATAAGTGAAGCCAAAAATGGCGGCTTATAAAGCTTTCTTGGGCGTCATTCTCAGTCTCCCAAACGCGTTTTTTTCGCGCGGTCAACTAAGGCGCGGGAAATTTAAAATGCAAAGGCCTGCTACTTTCTTCAATCTTTTCTACGTACTGTTCCCAAGCAAAAATATATTAGGCGTTAGTGTAAAAAGCTGATAGGAAATTCAAAATGTGAAACAACTGCAAGTTGATAAAAATGCCACGTTATTGCGTGGTACCCCGCTGTAAAAGCAACGACCGAAAAAAGGAAAATAGGCCTGTAGTGTAAATAAATTTAAATTATAACATAATCATGTAAATAAACTAAATATTTGAATAAGAATGACATCCTTGATAATAAAAATTTTCAGCATTATTTATAAATTGTAAAGATTTATGCAAAAATCGTTAATACAATATTTTAAATATTCATAATCGAACAGTCGAACATGTTGAGTCGTTGACTTGAAATAAAATATTCATATATAATATATTAAATGAACATATACTTGCCTTTTGCAAAATGTAATTAGCAGATTTATAAGCAAAAAACGAAGTTGAAATCGTATTCCTTCTTGTTTTTAATTAAATCAATGAAAACGACACGCCTCGCCGTTTGCAATGTAATAATGATAAAGTTTGACGATTGACCGCGCGTTTGGGAAACTGAGAATGACGCCCAAGAAGGCTTCATGACCGCCATTTTTGGCTTCACTTTTGGATTGCGTAATTCCTTTAAGTTAGCCTTCCATGTTATACAGTTCAGTGATTCCCTTCTGACGTATGAAATATGGTCGGTTATTGATGAAACAATAATGCATTGGCTTCAGTAGTGGATTTGCTTCTATACTCTCTCCCTATATATATAAATATATATATATATATATATATATATATATATATATATATATATATATATATATATATATATATATATATATATATAATCATGACAGGTCAACTCAGGTCATGCGGTAGAAATCGAACCTATACGCTTCTACGATTCCTTGTTATTGAAGCCTTGTAGATCATGTTCGGAATACTGAATATAGGATACTAGGTCACCCCACTTTGCAGAGATTCCACATGAGTGTGCACAATTATTACACATGAGTGTGCACAACAGAAAAACCTTGAGACGTGCAGAATTCAATAACACAAACGTTTCCTCGTAGAACAGTAAATCTCCAATATACCTGGCGAGTTTCTCCAATATCAATTTTGTACAAATCAATTTTATCTTTTTAACCTCAACTATGCATCAAGGCGCCAGCTTGCCCCAAATTTATAGCAATGAAGTAAATTAATAGAATACGTTTTAACTATCACGAGAATAGACATTTTTCCTGACCTTTTTCTTCATTCTATATTTCCTAAACCCATTTTATTCAACTATAATTATTGATTGGTCACATACCATAAATCATAATTATATATGAATTTTTTGTCCCGCTACGATCATCTACAGTTTCATCTACATAGACTATAGCGGCTATAGCGGCTAAAAAATAAAAAGCATAGAGTGAGTATATATAGTAGATGATAATATTCAATAGCCACACTTCACTACCATAAATTGATAAAGTCAGTTCTGAAGTCAACGATCAATAGCTGATGGAGGTCAGCCAATGCGTAACACAAATTCACCGAAAATGCCTTGCCTTTTCCAACTTAACCGTCGATTTATTGGCAGCATTTTTCATCACCCGGACAATATTCATCAAATTCCTCCAAATGTTCAGCACAGAAGACATGTGGTGACACACAAGTTCCATCGTTCACAAGACACAGATTCAACACTGCCTCTTGCGAGGCGTGCGTATCTATATAGAAAACAAAATTACACGGTAATATAAAATGAATTATTAAGAAATAAACCTGAAGACAGAAACATAATTCAAACTCAAAATATTTTTTGATAAAATTTGGTGATGCTGGGGAGCCGATGCTGAAGAAGAAAAATTGTGAAAAACAGTAGGTGCGTTAAAGCTAGATAGAAACTTCAGAGAATATAACTCAACCTACGATCAATTGCAACTTGCTGAAGCTTACGTTGGAAATGTGATTTGTATAGGAACAAATTGCCGGATATATATTTCGCACAGCACACACGTACGTAACACATATCAACAAACATTCTTTCAGAGTTAATATTGATCTTTCAAGAGGGACCACATGCAGTCGCTTCTGGCCATTGATTCCCCTTATAACAATGGGTAGTCCACTCCTCTCAAAACTGCTCAAATTTCCCATGTTTCCTATACATCTGAACATAAACTCCCTCTCATATTCATTTAAAAGTGTAGCGAACTAGAAGCAACAAAAACAAATATTTTGAAAGATCTGGATATTTGCTGCGGAGCGAGCGAGCCTGAAGCGAGCGAGCGTAGCAGCAGTCTAATTTGTGCAGAGAGGGGATTCTGAACTAAATTTTATTTAGCGCAAGGAATTGTGGTCGTGCGTGTTTTTTATGCGTAGAACACACATTTCAAACTCGCTCATATCCATGTGCTTTTTAATTTCGATGGACAGGATCTTCAAATTTTTGTTAAATTTTCAAGCTTCTGTTCTATTTTGACTATTCAAGGTAAGATATTTTCATCTTCGTTCATTTGTTACGATTACAGTTGTTTACAATTTTAACTGGCATATTTATGAAACGCTAAAAGAATACAATCGATCACAGCTAGATTCATGCTGTTCATATACGAACTATATAAATTCTTCAAGAATATTAAGATGCAATATCCAATTTGCTAGTTCGCTTTGCTTGAGCAGTTGAGCTGTCAGTGCTGTGAAGCAAACCAAGTCTTACATACAGATGCTTTAAAGTCTTTTTTATCCATTGATACTTGTATTCTTTTGCTGATTTCCATATTTTGCATCAAATGATGTTTTAAGTATGCGGCTTGACGCTTGCAAGTCGTGTTCAATAACATGACACAGTCGCAGATAAAATATGCAATTGATCGTCTAAATTGCCTGACTGAATCGGTCAGATTCGTGAAATGTTTGACTTATTTAAAATTAGGTTACTGTAAGCATAGGCATATGTTTTTTTTATTCCTATTTCTATTTTACAATGAGCTAAATGTCTTTGTTATTTAGTGCTTTTACCGGATATTCACGTGGTTTCTGATTACACGTCTTCTCGAGCGCGTTCAAAGTTCAAAGTATTAAGTGATGTTTTGTTACTCTTCACATGAAGCCAAACATTTACATGGACACAACAAAGACAAATAGCATATTTAAAAAAGAAATATCCATGTTACCAAAAAATGTTCTATTTTGTTAAACATGTGCTACTGGGCCTGTATTTTAGCTTTGTTGCGGGGAAAATGTCGCTACGCGCGCAAAATTCTACCTAATGTTACATTATTGTTAATACTCCTGTTGTGATTCGTATGTTAAAATATTTTTAAAACTAGCTGCTTCTAAAGACTTTGACTTAACGAGCTGCAACTCGCAAGACAGCGTTGATATAGCATATATTGATCTAAATATTGACGTCATTGACAGTGTTTTCGCTAATAGGTGTTAATTCATCTACAGCCCCAGCGAGTTAACGCTCAATAGAGGCTCACTATGCGTTTTTTAAACCTGCTATTGCTATTAGTTAAAACAGATTTAGTTCACTGACATTTCATATAACAATTCACTTGGACCCTAAAATGCTCGCAGCAATCCCTACCTTGCAGGTAACCTAGTTTAGAAAATATACGGATTCAAAGATAAACAGAACGTTTGTATATATTACAAACTCTATATAACCCCACCTTTAAGAATCTCAAGGTAGCAAACTAAACGTTTCTTGGTGTGTATCAAAATGAAGAATCATGTGCATAGGTGAGAATAATCTGAGTTTGAATCTATTTTTCGACTTAAATATGGTAGTTATATGCCCACAGTACGTCATCCTTTGATCTAAGCTAGGGAAAAAATCAACGAAAAGATTCGAACGGTTCCGCAGTTTTTAAAATCAATTTTTAGATGGATGAACTGTTTGCGGACATTTCAAACTGAAGGACAATGCCTCTACAATAGCATTTTAAATTTTGATCGAACACACACGGGTCATACCTAACAAGGCGTACATAGCCTTGGAATTTTTTATAAGCGGAAGAATAGTATTACATGGGGGGAGGTTTTGAACCAACGAGCCTTTAACCTTACACTGTGGTTTATTCGTGTTTTATGTTTTTTTTTTACTTATATAATCCTAAAAACATAGTTAGTGTATATTACTATAACCTGAGTAAAAACAAGATTACCTTGTTCATGACGAGCACCAACAGCAACGCCTGTCACAAAGATCAACAACAGACAAACGTTCAGACGAAAAATCATTCTTGCTAAAAATATAAAGAATTTTGAGAAACTTAAACCACAGAAAACCTAAAAGTAAAGCCTAAAAGTCTAAAGCTACAGGAGCAAAGATATAGTCATTACAAATATGGCGATCATCTCACTGAGTTAATATCACTAATATAGCGGGATCTCGACTGAGAGGGGGAAAAAAGCAGAGAATTACAAATGCATTGTTTTGATATTTCACTAAGGTTTCATCAGCCGCCATTTAGAATCATATAAACAATACAATCTTTCATGAAGCAAAAGGAGAGCGGCAGAACAACATGAGAGTTGACGAAATGCGCACAAATTAAAGAATGCATTGCAACGCCTATAAATTATATATTTACAGCCCATAAATATATTTTTACCAGAGACACACAAATACCAATAAACAACAGGTCATAAAACGCCTTTAAAAAATGTAGTTACTTCAAACAATCATGGTCGTCACATTTAGATGCATAGCTTGCCTTACCTAATTACCTAGCTTACCTTAATTTCTAATAAAGATTCGAATATTCGATAACAGAGAATCTTTAGTCAGCCAATGATTTTGTGCTTTTTCGACTACAATATATATTCAAGGGTTAGGTTTAGAAAAAAAATTATATACTTTAGTGCATCCGACATTGTCATAAATATAGGTCATATGTTCATTTTTAGGGTCTGGCCTCTGTGATGTCGCCTGCTCTGAATCAATCGAATAAACTAGCAATTTCTAATAGAAAGATAATTGCTGCAAGGGGTCAGATCATTCAAGAATCAAGATCAGTCCATTCAGTCGTGATTAAATATGAAACTATTGAAGATATTCTAAAATGACTGTGGCCTTCATCAACACTTCCAGAGATACAGTATATAACGTTGAATTAAACATAACTTTTGAGCTATATTAGTGAATATCTGTGCTTACCTTCGGAAGCTTCCTTTGGACAAACGTCTCAATCGTCGTTGAGTTGAAAAGAGCGTGCAAAGGTGCGAACACGTGTGTCTGCTGGCTGCATTGTTTAAAAATACTCTGCATTGTGCATTGTATAGAAACCACTACAACTGTCCAACACTTCGCAGGCTCACAAGATCATCTCGAATGAATCGAATCGACAATATTCACACGATTAGTAAGCTTTTTGCTTCGCTCGCAGCAATAATGAAGTTAAACAATGCCGTTTAATGCTGGGGAAAAAGTACTAATCGTCAAATATACAAATGGTTGGTATATATATTACACCATAGACAATCCAGTCTATAGTGTGATGAAATAATGAATGAAATACATTCAACTGCCAATATTCATGCATGCAATTCAGACGTATATTCGTCACATTTGTTGCTAAAAAGTTCGAAAACTAATTCTTTCCTATCGTTTTCATGCATAGCTGTATTGTTAATCTCACCCACTCAGATGCCATCTGTAACTCATCTCAAGTCATTGAAAATACTTATCGTTTCGTCCCCATTTCCTGGTTTCCCACGCGTTTTTCCGTTGTGATCCGTGATTGGCTCGCTCGCTCCGTCCAAGGAGGGAGAAGCAGGTAAAATAGGATTTTTCCTTTTAAAAGATTATATCGCAACTTGTGATCACAGATTTGATACGATGGAAAAAGGTTTGCTACTACATGTGCAAGTGTATAAATAGCTCATATTGATGTGTCTGAGAATGACACATGAAGCAATCAAAAGTATATTAACGTAAAACTGACCATGAAAAAGTAAAACCATAGTGACAATACTGTTTGTTTCGCAAGTTCAGGTATCATGCATCACTCCACACATGCACGTCATTCAAAATACTAAAAGATTTGTTCCACTAAACACCAATATTAATAAAAAGATTCTAAGTCACGAACTAGACGTTCCTGCAAAGTGCAAGTTAAGAGCGGTTACAAACTTACAACGAATTTAAGCTGGTGCATGATGAAAAATTTGGTGTGATAGAAAATAATTTGCTATAGTGCAAGTGTAACTGTGTAAAACTAGATTATATTGAAGAGTCTGAGAAAGACAATTGATGTAATCAAAATATTCGAAGAGGAACGATGCTGACGTGTCGCATCACTTTCTAGAAGACCATTTTCGTCCCGTTGATTACATAGCCACAAAACTCAAAGCAACGAACATCGTAATTACGAACTTCGCCTATCATTCTGGGGAGTTAGCCCCACGCAATGACAGCGCGTGAGAATGAGATCTTCAGACATTCAATTTTATGTTGGGCAAAGTTTGATCAACTGTCACGAATGAATAAAAAGTAAGCTCTAGCCGGATACCAGCTGATTTCGATCATCTTTCTGTTAAATTTTCGTAAATTCGATAATCTTACTATAATTATGATGAAGATAAATATCTTAAGGTGTTAACAAGTTTTAACTTTGATCGATTGATCAAATTACAACTCGACTGGTGCGTGGACGCCTTAAGTAAACAAATTAGGAGAGCCAAAACGAACTTCTAACGCCATACCACACTTGTAATTTGCAACTTTGATTGGCTACTAGTGGGTCACCCCACTTTGCAGAGACTCCCGTAATTTTTATTATACATAAGTGTGCACAACAGCAAAACCTTCAGACGTGCAGAAAAACAGAAAGAATTCAAGGCGAATTCAAGAAGATGAATTCAATAACATAAACATTTCCTCTTAAAAAAACTAAATCTCCAATGCCTTGCGAGTTTCTCCAATACCGATTTTTTACAAATCGGTTTTATCATGTTAACCTCAACTGTGCATCAAGGCGCCAGCTTGCCCAAAATTTATAGCAATGAAGTATATTAATAGAATACGTTTTAACTATCACGATAATAGAATTTTTTTCCAGAAATTTTTCTTCATTCTATGTTTCCTAAACCCAATTTATTCAACTATAATATTGATCGGTTACATTCCATAAATCATAATTATATATGATTTTTTTGTCCCACTCAATCATCTACAGTTTCATCTACATAGACTAGCGGCTGAAAAATAAAAAGGATAGAATGAGTATAGTAAATGATAATAATTATTTAATAGCCACACTTCATCAAGGACCATAAATTGATAAAGTTTTAGGTTTCTGAAGTCAACGATCGATAGCCGATGGAGGTCGGCCAATGCGTAACACATGCAAATTCACTGAAAATGACTTGCCTTTGCAAACTTAACCGAAGAATTATCGGCAGCATTGTTCATCATCCGGACAAAATATATCAAATTCCTCCAAATGTTCTCTGCAGGTGACCTGTGGTGACACACAACTTCCACCGTTCGCAAAACACAAATTAATCACTTGCCCTTGCGTATCTATAGTATAACAAAATTACACGATAATATGAAATAAAGTATTAAGTAATAAACCTGGAGAAAGAAACGTAATTCAAACTCAAAATAATTTTTTGATTAAATTTGGTGATGTTGGGGAGCATGCTGAAGAAGAAAAATTGTGAAATACAGATTACATGCGTTAATTATTTAAAGCTGGATAGAAACTTCAGAGAATATCAATCAACCTACGATCAATAGTAACTGGCTGAAGTTTACGTTCGAAGTGTGATTTGTGTATGAGCAAATTGCCACTTATATATTCCGCACGCCGCACACGTACGTGATAGCATGCACATATCGACAAACATTCTTTTAGAGTATATAATATAATTATATTGATCTTTCGAAGGGGACCACATGCAGTCGCTTCTGCGCATCGATTCTCCTTATATAATAATGGCTCAAAATCAAAATTGCTCAAATTTCCTTTGTTTCGTATATATCTCAACATAAACTCTCTCTCAAATTCATTTAAAAGTGTAGCGACCTAAAAGCGAGTCAAATGTTCTGAAAGTTCTGAATATTTTAGGAAATATACGGCTTCAAAGATAAACAGAACGTTAGTTTACATTAAGAACTGTACCACACCTTTAGGAATCTCGAGGTAGCAAACTAAAAGTTTCTTAGTTTGTATCGAAAATGAGCAATCATGTGCATAATTGAAAATAATCTGCATAGGTTTGAATCCATTTGGCGACTAAAATATGGTGGTAATAAACCCATATAATCCTTTGATCCAAACTAGGGCAAAAAATTGCTGAGAGATTCGAACAGTTCCGGCAGTTTTTGAAATCAATTTTTCGATGGATGAACTGTTAACGGACATTTCGAATTGAAGTACTCCTACATTTGAATTTGATCGAACACACCGGGTCATACTATAGCATAAGCGGAAGAATGATATTTGGGGGAAAGCTTTTGAACCAACGAGCCTAACGCTGTGGTTAATTCGTGTTTTATCTTTTTTGCGTATTTATAATCCTAAAGACATAGTAAGTGTATATTACTATAACCTGAGTAAAAACAAGATTACCTTGCTCATGACGAGCACCAAGAGCAACGCCAGTCACAAAGATCAACAACAAACAAACGTTTAGACGAAAGATCATTCTTGCTAAAAATATAAAGAATTTTGAGGAATTAAACTAGCCAGAGAAAACATTAATAAAGCTTAAAAGTCTAAAGCTGCATGAGCAAAGATACAGTCCGGCATTATAGATATGGCGATCATCTCACTGAGTTAATAATTATCACTAATATAAGCGAGATCTCGACTGGAGAGGGAAAAACAGCAGAGAAATAATTTGGACAAATATCATATGTTTTTCCAGTGCATTATTGTTTTGATATTTCACAAAGGTTTAATCAGTCGCTATTTAGAATCATATAAACAATACAATCTTTCATGAAGCAAAAGGAAAGCTTCAAAACAACAAGAAAGCCGACGAATTGCGCGTAAATTAAAGAATGCATTGCAACGCCTATATATATTTACAGCCTATAAATATATTTTTACCAGAGACACACAAATACCAATAAACAACAGGTCATAAAACGCCTTTAAATAATGTAGTTACTTCAAACAAACATGTTCGTCACATTTAGATGCATATAGCTTACCTTACCTAATTACCTTACCTTAATTTCTAGTGTAGAGATTCGAATATTCGACGACAGAGAATCTTCAGTCAGCCAATGACTTTGTGCTTTTTCGACTGCAATATATATTCAAGGGTTATGAAATAGAAAAAAAATGATATATTTTGGTGCATCCGACATGGTCATAAATATAGGTCATATGTTTATTTTTAGGGTCTGGCCTCTGTGATGTCGCCTGCTCTGAATCAATCGAATAAACTAGTAATTTCTAATAGAAAGATAATCGCTGCGAGGGGTCAGATCATTCAAGAATCAAGATCAGGCCATTCGTGTATAAATATAGAACCCTTGAAGATATTATAAAACGTCCGTTGCCTTGATCAACACTTCAAGAGATTTAATATATAACGTTGAAATAAACATAACTTTTGAGCTCTATTAGTGAATTTCTGTGCTTATCTTTGGAACCTTCCTTTGGACAAAACGTCTCAATCGTCGTTGGGTTGAAAAGAACGTAGGAAGGTGCAAACACGTGTGTCTGCTGGCTGGTTTAAAAAAAACTCTGCATTGTGCATTGTATAGAAATCACTGCAACTGTCCGACACATCACAGGCTCACAAGATCATCTCGAATGAATCGAATCGACCATATTCACACGATTAGTAAGCTGTTCGCTTCGCTCGCAGCAAAAACGGAAGTTAAACAATTCCATTTAATGCTGGGGAAAATGTACTAATCATCAAAATACAAAAATGGTTGGTATATATATTACACCATAGACAATCCAGTCTATATATAGTGCAATGAAATAATAAATGAAATACATTGAACTGCCAATATTCATGCATGCAATTCAGACGTATATTCGTCACATTTCTTGCTAAAAATTTCGAAAATCAATATTTCCTATCGTTTTCATGCATAGCTGTATTGTCAATCTCACACACTCAGATGTCATCTGTAACTCCTCCCAAGTCATTGAAAATACTTATCGTTTCGCTCCAATTTCCTGGTTTCCCACGCGTTTTTCCGTTGTGATCCGTGATTGGCTCGCTTGCTCTGTCCAGGGGGGGAAGCTGGTAAAATAGTTTTTTCCTTTAACTCTACGAGCAATGCTTCTTTCATCTAAACTCATTTTTTTGTAAACTGCACGTGAAAAAAAAGCTCTCAAAACGAAGTTTCCTGAATTCAGTGTTGGTTACATCTCTGATGAAAGGATTCTTGTTCTACTTCTGATCCTGAGGAATCAGAACACTGATAGACTTTGTTGCAACGTCTTCTTCAACTACCAATATTCTCATGCAATTTACCAACCAGACCCTGCGGTAAAATCAGTACGACAACGGTTATATCGCAACTTGTGATCACAGATTTGATACGATGGAAAAACCTTTATAAATAGCCCATATTGATGTGTCTGAGCATGACACATAAAGCAATCAAAAGTATATCAACTTAAAACTGACCATGAAAAAGTAAAAACCATAGTGACCATACTGTTTGTTTCGGAAGTTCAGGTATCATCCATACTCCACACATGCATGTCATTCAAAAATACTAAAAGATTTGTTCCACTAAATACCAATATTAATAAGTTCTAAATCACGAACCAGACGTTCCTCAAAATACAAGAATGGTTACAAACTTACAACGAATTAAAGCTGGGTGCATGATGAAAGATTTGGTGCGATAGAAAATGATTTGTTATAGTGCAAGTGTTACTGTGTAACACTAGATAATATTGAAGTGTCTGAGTAAGAAAATTGATGTAATCAAAATATTCGAGGAGGAACGAAGCTGACGTGTAGCATCACTTAATTTCTAGAAGACTATTTTCGTCCCGTGGATTACATAGCCACAAAACTCAAAACACAACAAAAGCGTAACTACGAACTTCGCCCAGCATTCTGGGGAGTTAGCCCCATCAATGACCGCCCGTGAGAATGAGATTTTCAAAAAATCAATTTTATGTCGGGCAAAGTTCAACTGTCACAAATGAATGAAAAGGAAGCTCTAGGCGGATACAAGCTATTTCTATAATTTTTCTGTTAGATTTCGCGCTATTAAGCATTGAAAGCATTACGTTACCGATAGTTTAATTCGATGAAATTTGGGAGATATATGTAACTTTCACAAAAGTTCGTTAATTCGATAATTTTACTATAAGTTGATGAAAAATATCTTAAGTTTTTAACAAGTTTTGACACTGATCGATTAATCAAATGACAACTCGACTGGTGCGTTAATTCCTTATTAAGTAAAAAAAGTACGAGAGCCAAAACGAGCTTCTAACGCCATACCACACTGGCAATCTGCAACGTTGATCGGTCACCCTACTTTTCAGCGACCCTCCTAACTTTTATTATACATGAGTGTGCACAACAGCAAAACCTTCAGACATGCAGAAAAACCAGCAAGAATTCAAGGCAAAGCAAAGAATATGAATTCAATTACTCAAACATTTCCACTACTTGGTGAGTTTCTCCACCACTGATTTTGTAAAAATCGGTTTTATCATTCATATTTAACCTCAACTATGGATCAAGGCGCCAGCTTGCCTCAAATTTATATAAATGAAGTGAATTAATAAAATACGTTATAACTATCACGACAATAGACATTTTTACTGAAACTTTCCTAAGCCCATTTTTTTCAAGTATAATATTGATCGGTTACATTCCATAAATCATAATTTTATATGAATTTTTTTTGTTCCACTAAGATCATCTACAGTTTCATCTACATGGACTAGCGGCTGAAAAATAAAAAGGATAGAGTGAGTAGCCTATATAGTAAATGATAATATTTAATAGCCACACTTCATCAAGGACCATAAATTGATAAAGTCAGTTCTAAAGTCATGAACAATCGATAGCCGATCGAGGTCGGCCAATGCGTAACAAAAATTCACTGAAAATGCCTTGCCTTGCCAACTTAATCGCCGATTACTCGGCAGCATTGTTCATCATCTGGACAATACATATCATATTGCTCCAAATGATCCACACAGCTGACATGGGGTGACACACAACTTCCACCGTTCGCAAAACACGGATTAATCACTTGCCCTTGCGTATCTATAGTATAACAAAATTACACGATAATATGAAATAAAGTATATTAAGTAATAGACATGGAGAAAGAAACGTAATTCAAACTCAAAATAATTTTTTGATAAAATTTTGTGATGTTGGAGAGCATGCTAAAAAAGAAAAATTTTGAAATACAGATTACGTGCGTTAATTATTTAAAGCTGGATAGAAACTTCAGAGAATATAAATCAACCTACGATCAATATAGCAACTGGCTGAAGTTTACGTTAGAAGTGCGATTTGTATATGCACAAATTGCCACACATATATTCCGCACGCCGCACACGTACGTGATAGCATGCACATATCGACAAGCATGTTTTTAGAGTAATATATATTGATCCTTCAAAGGGGACCACATGCAGTCGCTTCTGCGCATCGATTCTCCTTATAATAATGGCTCAAAATCAAAATTGCTCAAATTTCCTTTTTTTCGTATATATCTCAACATAAACTCCCTCTCATATATATTCATTTAAAAGTGTAGCGAACTAAAAGCGTGTCAAATGTTTTGAAAGTTCTGGATATTTTAGGAAATATATGGATTCAAAAATAAACAGAACGTTAGTTTACATTACAAACTGTACCACACCTTTAAGAATCTCGAGGTAGCAAATTAAAAGTTTCTTTGTTTGTATCGAAAATGAACAATCATGTGCATAAGTGAGAATAATCTACATGGGTTTGAATCCATTTGGCGACTAAAATATGGTGGTTATAATTATGCCCAAAGTACGTCATCCTTTGATCCAAACTAGGGAAAAAATTGCCGAAAAGACTGGAACGGTTCCACATTTTTTGAAATCAATTTTTAGATGGATAAACTGTTTGCGGACATTTCACATTGAAGTACATGCATCTAAAATAGCATTTTGAATTTTGATCGAACACACACGGGTCATACCTATAAGAAGACGTACATAACCTTGGAAATTTTTATAAGCGTAAGAATGGTATTTGGGGGAGGTTTTTGAACCAACGAGCCTTACGCTGTGGTTTATTCGTGTTTTATGTTTTTTTTACTTATATATAACCCTAAAAACATACTAAGTGTATATTACTATAACCTGAGTAAAAACAAGATTACCTTGTTCATGACGAGCACCAACAACAACGCCTGTCACAAAGATCAACAACAAACAAACGTTCAGACGAAAAATCATTCTTGCTAAAAATATAAAGAATTTTGAGGAATTAAACTATACACCTGAAACTTAGTATTAAGCCTAAAGCCACAGAAAACATTAATAAAGCCTAAAAGTCTAAAGCTACATGAGCAAAGATATATAGTCATTATAGATAATTATGACGATCATCTCACTTAGTTAATATCACTAATATAAGCGGGATCTCGACTGAGGAGGGAAAAACAGCAGAGAATTAATTTGGACAAATATCATATGTTTTCCCAATGCATTGTTTTCATATTTCACGAAGGTTTTATCAGCCGCCATTTAGAGAAATATAAATAATGCAATCTTTCATGAAGCAAAAGGAAAGCTGCAGAGCAACAAGAGAGCCGACGAAATGCGCGCAAATTAACGAATGCATTGCAACGCCTATATATATCTACAGCCTATAAATATATATTTTACAAGAGACACACAAATACCAATAAACAACAGGTCACAAAACGCCTTTAAAAAGGTAGTTACATCAAACAAACATGGTCGTCACATTTAGATGCACAGCTTACCTTACCTAATTACCTTACCTTAATTTCTAGTAAAGATTCGAATATTCGATAACAGAGAATCTTCAGTCAGCAAATGATTTTGTGCTTTTTCGACTGCAATAATTATATATTCGAGGCTTAGGAAATGGAAAAAAAATTATATACTTTGGTGCATCCGACATGGTCATAATTATAGGTCATATGTTTATTTTTAGGGTCTGGCCTCTGTGATGTCGCCTGCTCTGAATCAATCGAATAAACTAGAAATTTCTAATATAATAATAATAATAACAATAATAATAATTCACACGATTAGTAAGCGATAATGAAGTTAAACAATGCCGTTTAATGCTAAGGAAAAATGTACTAATCATTAAATATACAAATGGTTGGTATATATATTACACCTTAGATAATCCAGTCTATAGTGTGATGAAATAATGGATGAAATACATTGAACTGCCAATATTCATGCATGCAATTCAGACGTATACGCGCCACATTTCTTGCTAAAAATTTCGAAAATCAATATAATATCCTATCGTTTTCATGCATGGCTGTATTGTTAATCTCACCCACTCAGATGCCATCTGTATAACTCCTCCCAAGTCATTGAAAATACTTATCGTTTCGTTCCCATTTCCTGGTTTCCCACGCGTTTTTCCGTTGTGATCCGTGATTGGCTCGCTCACTCCGTCCAGGGAGGGGGGAGCGGGTAAAATTGTTTTTTTCCTTTTACTCTACGAGCACTCCTTTTTTCATCTAAACTCATTTTTTGTAAACTGCACGTAAAATAAAGCTCTCAAAACGAAGTTTCCTAAATTGAGTGTTGGTAACACATGTGATGATCAAGGGATTCCTGTCCTATACTTCTAATCCTGAGGGATCAGAACACTGATAGACTTTGTTGCAACGTCTTCTTCAACTACCAATATTCTCATGTAATTTACCAACCAGATGCTGCCGTAAAATCAGTACGACAACGATTACATCGCAACTTGTGATCACAGATTTGAAACGACGGAAAAACGTTTGCTACATGTGCAAGTGTATAAATAGCTCATATTGATGTGTCTGAGAATGACACATGAAGCAATCTAAACATGGCCAGAAATTTCGGACATGCGCCCGCTCACACGCCCTCAGCGGCTCTGCTTATCTAATTAAAATTCATATTTACAAAGTAAAATGGCTTCCTCTGCTGGTGCAAAGCGTAAACTTGTGGCAGATTTGAGGGTCGATTACAAAAAAATTGTATTTTTATATTTTGACATACACACAAATTTTTTGACACATTCGTTGAATTCATCTGCCAAAATATGAATTCTTCATCGCAGCGATCAAAGTTGTTTATCAAAATTGTGAGCCAAGCACAGCTAGTTGTCCTCACGGCCCGTTTTATACGATTTTTGGCAAAGATTTGCAGGGCGATGAAAACAAATGTAGTTCTCAAATTCGTTGGACTGTTAGGTATACATACGTTGGAAACGAAACGAGCTCGGCAAATGTGAATCGAACGCATAATGCTGTGCGAGTAGAAAATGCTGAGACAAAGATCACCTTTTGGCGAAAATCTTGTTCTTTTATATACAGAACATATTGTTAGTTTTGAAACGCATTTAATTTCTATATTAATATATTTTACATATTTACATCAACAAGACGCCAGCAATATTAATTCGCATGCGGAACTTGGCAAGGGTGTGACGGCCATGCATCAAGTTGATGCGTTTGGCAAAAACACCTTCAGTTGAAACACAGACGTCATTGCGATAACAACTGCTACTGGCGTGGCTGTTTGTTTTACTTGTTTTGTGTTGCACGCTGCTGGCGCAAATATTCTATCAAGTTCAAAACGTTGTCGTTGGTGCGCGTGTAAACCAAGGTGAGTTAAATTCATAGTTATATTTAGTTCTTTTGTTGACTTAGATTTAGTTTGTTACCAAGACTTTATTTTCGTATTTACGAACCTTAAATTTAGTTTTGTTTATGGAACACTTCGAACACTGGTCAAGTTGTCTTGCATGCAGGTTATTATTCATGACGTGCTATTTTATCTATCTAATGTATAGGCCGCGCATGAAATGATTAAAGTTGCGTGCTGTACGTGCATGTGATCACGCAATACTGTATTTAGTATAGCTATTGTTGTTTCGTGTTTTCTAGTTCGAACCTACTATCTGCTACTATCTACTATTATTTACTACGTATCTACATTTCTGCTATCTGCCTACCTATATCTACCCAATGTGATAACACACCACAAAACCTTTGCTACCACGCCGATCTGATGTCAATTATCAACCAAATGATGCATAGTCAACCAAATGATTTCGATATTAAAGTCATCATTAATTAATTATCCATTTACGCATTGATTGTTTATTCTATTCTGCCGAGTTCGAAATATCAGCGCACCGCCTACATCTCGCGCAACACGTGACTGCAAACCATCGTTCTGTCCGTGTGAAGTACATTTAAGTTCGAATTTGCTACACTGTGAAGGAATTCGAAGAATCTAAAGAATTTAATCGACTGTTTCCTGCAACTGCAGCGGCCAAGTCGTATTAAAGGGCTTCCAGCCCAAAAATCAAAACAATCTAATCAATTGTTCCGAGCAACTCCTGCGGCCAAGTCGGATAAAGGGGTATTCCTGTCCAGAAATCGAATCAATTATCATGTCCCACATGGATCCTGAGATAGAGCACGATATGGATCAATTAAGACAATTTCGAAGTACCGCGAAAGGAAATGTAACCAGAAAAGCTAATAAGCTTAATGAGCTAATAAATTCAAAGGTCGAAACTGAGGCTGTTGAAAATGCTTTGGAGGAACTGCTTGAAGTTTGGAGCCAATTTCAATTAGCACACCATAACTACCATAGTTTAATTAAAGATGAATAGCGATTCAAGAGTCGAAAGTGTACGCTGATTCCGTGTAAAAGAATTATTTTCAGAGCTTCGAGAAAGGGTCAATTCGTGGCTCGAGCAACCTATCGATCATTCCCAATCAAACGAACCAATTCAACCCCAAACAAATCCAGCCAGAAGATTCAGTGAGCTCCGTTGGATCACGCCGTTCGTCACGTGCTCATTCAAGAGCAAGTTCATTAAGAAGTGCGTCAAGTGCCAAAGCGAAGGCGGCGGCGAGACAGGCAGCACTAGAAGCTAGAGCAAATTTAATGGAAAGGATGAATAACCTCCAATTAGAAGAACTAAAAATTCAACAAATGAAATCTCAAGTACAGCTTCAAGCAGAGATAACCGCAGCCGAAGCCGAGAAAAGGGTCTACGAACAGACCGAGGTTGAGGAAAACCAAAGCGAGCGTTTGCCTCAACAAAATACAATCGAGCAGCGATCTCTGCGTATACCATCGCAACCTCCCTTACCTCAAACTTTAGAAAGGATTGCTGAAAACAACCCAGAGCAGAGGCAAACGGCTAATCGACAACCAAAGAATCACCCAGAAGTTGTTCCATCAACTGGTCAACAGTTAAATCCTTGTGCGACTGTATGGTCTCCCAGTACGGCACGACCTCAGCAGCCTGTAACTCATGTTGGCGATAGCGCATTTCACCAGCTGATGGAGACTCAAGATCGCCAAAGCACGGTCCTTCAACAGTTGGTGCAACAACAGCAACAAAGCGCCATGGCGCTTACGTTACCAAAACCGACCATTAAAGTCTTCACAGGAGATCCTATAGACTACAGCGACTTCGTTCGAGGATTTGAACACCTTGTCGAAGAAAAGACCCCTTGCTCAAGCTCCCGTCTATATTACCTCATTCAATATACATCAGGACCCGTTCAAAATCTGATGAAAAGTTGTTTGTCAATGAACACCGAGGAAGGCTACAAGGAGGCGAGGAGACTCCTGAAAGAGAGATATGGTCAGAATTATAGAATCGCAACACGTACAAGCTTTAACAGATGGATTGCCAATAAATTCCGAGGATGGAGAGGCGCTTCTAAAGTTCTCTGTTCAATTAACTAGCTGTACTAACACCCTGAAAGAAATCGGCTGTGTCAGGAAGTTAGATCACCCTGAGAATCTTAGAAAAATCGTAAATCGGCTTCCATTTGGCATGACACTGAAATGGCGCGATGCCGTTGACCGTATCGTCGAGAAGGAACGAAGGGACGTCACAATCAAAGATGTAACTGACTTCGTGACTCCGAAGGCAAGAGCAGCAGCCAGCCACCTTCTATTTGGGAAAGTTGTCAACGAAAGCAAAGGAAAACAAGCAAATGAAAAACACAGGCCTCGATTTATTAAGAGAGAAAGTGGCTTTGCAACAGAAGGAGATCAATCGCCCAAACACGGCCAAGAATCAAGGAAGCTACCCGAATGTCCTTCGTGTAGTGATAACCATTGGTTGTCAAGTTGTGAGAAATTTTGCAAGCTTTCCTTCGAAGAAAGAAAGACGCTTGTGAAAGATAAGCGACTTTGCATGAACTGTCTCAGATTTGGGCATTTCGTCCGTTCGTGCCCTAAGAATAGCTTCTGCAAGGTGGATGGATGCAGTGGAAAGCATTCGACTTTCCTTCACCCGAAGAAAATAATCCCAAATCAGCGGGGTGAACATGATAAGAAGACGTCTGGGAAAGAAAACAACGTCGCGGAAGAGGACACAGCAAACAATGGCTATGTGAAAATGTCGCCTAAATCTGGTACCTGCAGCTCTTCTGTAACTGGCCTCGCGATTGTCCCGGTCAGAGTAACGGCGGAAGGAAGATCTAAAGTTATGGAAACATATGCTTTCCTAAATTCTGGTTCTAACACCTCGTTTTGCACTGAAAGCCTACTGAGAAGGCTCGACCATCAAGGACAAAGAACGAAGCTGTCCCTTACCACAATGCTCGGCGAAGGTATGCCGATCGAATGTTCAGTACTAAAGATTCAAGTCGCTGACTTAAATAACGAAACCCGCGTTGTAATACCAACAGTGTAATCCACCCCAAATCTACCTATCCGACTGGAATGTATTGGTAAACAGGAAGACGTCAATCGCTGACCACATCTAAAAGGTATAACCATCCCACACATAGATGCTGAGATCGGTCTCTTAATTGGAAGTGACGCCCCAGAAATACTGCAACCAAGGGAAGTAAGACAGAGCGAGAATGGAGGTCTCTTCGCAACGAAAACGGTTTTGGGCTGGGTTCTTAATGGCCCGCTTGGACGAAGGGAAAACAAAGCCCCCGCCACACATTGTGTTCAGGCAGACAACATACTTAACAAACAGTTCGAGAATTTCTGTAACATGGAGTTCGACGATGTAAAGTACGAGTCCTCTGAAATTTCTATGTCACAGAACGACAAGAAGGCTTTAAATATCATGGAGAAAACTGTCAAGATGGTTAACGGTCACTACGGATTGGACTTCCGTGGAGGAACAACCCACCGCATCTTGAGAACAACAGGTTACAAGCTGAACAAAGACTACGTTCGTTGAAAAGGCGATTGCAACACGATCCACAATTATTGAGCAAGTACAAAACATTCATGAACGATTTGTTATGTAAGGATTACGCTAGGAAAGTTGACAGCCAAGATCTCGGTCCGCTAAAAACCCATTGGTATTTACCTCATCACCCTGTATTCCACCCTCAAAAACCCGACAAGGTTCGCGTCGTATTCGACTGCTCAGCAAAGTATCGCGAAGCCTCGTTGAATGACCAATTGCTACAGGGGCCGGATTTGACAAATACACTCATCAGCGTGCTAACAAGATTCAGAGAAGAACCTGAAGCATTCATGGCAGACATCGAAGCGATGTTCTATCAAGTGCGCGTCCCCTCAAGCGATTGTGACGCCCTCAGATTTTTTTGGTGGCCGGATGGCGATCTCGCCAAGAAACCAGAAGAGTACGAAATGAGAGTTCATCTCTTTAACGGTGCCTCATCCCCAAGCTGCACTAATTTTGCCCTAAAAAGGACCGCTAAGGACAACGAAGCAGATTTCGAACCCAGGGTCATCGAGACAGTGCAACGTAACTTCTATGTCGACGACTGCCTAAAGTCAGTCAGAGGGGAGGACGAAGCCGTTGATCTCGCGGAGCAGCTGGGGAGTTGCTGGCAAGAGGAGGGTTCAGGCTTACAAAGTGGCTTTCAAACTAAAAAAAGGTCGTTCAATCCCTCCCTGAATCGGAAAGAGCCTCGCTGGTCAAAACCCTAGATTCCAACAGTTGGTCTGTCGAAAGAGCTCTTGGAGTTCAATGGAATATCACTTCCGATCAGTTTGGTTTCAAGATCGTCGTGAAGGACCGACCCCCCTACGAGAAGAGGAATCTTGTTGATCGTCAGCTCAGTCTATGACCCTCTTGGATTTGCCGCGCCATTTATATTTCAAGCTAAGCTCATCCTACAAGATCTATGCCGTAAGAAATTAGGCTGGGACGTGCCCATCCCAGAAGAATCCCTGAAACGATGGCACGGATGGCTACAAGAGCTACCCAAGCTGGAACAGCTCGTGGTCGATCACTGCTTTAAACCAACATCTCTTGGGAAAGTCCATGACGTTCAACTCCACCACTATGCTGACGCATCTCAACACGGATACGGCGCGGTGTCATATCTTAGAGTCGAAGATACCGACTCACGTTTGAGTATTTAAACTCCAAAAGAGAGCAGCAAGAGTTATTGTGGATGCCAGAGTACGAGACGAGAGAACTGTTACTTTGTTTAATAAACTGAATTGGTTAACATTTGACGATGAACTTAAACTTAACACATGCTGCATGGTTTATAAAATAATGCATGGTTTAGCTCCTGACTATCTTGGCCAATAAATTTTCAAGAGTGAGCGACATATCACAGCGTAACTCGAGATACGGTGATATAACATTTGTTTGTCCAAGGTACAATCGAGAAAAAGAAGGTGGAAAATCATTTGCTGTATCAGCAATAAAATTATGGAACAGTATTCCCGTGACTGTTAGATCTAGTTCCATTATCAAAACTTTTAAGAAAAGCTAGTTCCAATATCAAAACTTTTAAGAAAAACGATCGTCATTTTTGCGCTAAAAATACAAATGGTAAGGTTTTAGAAGACGCTGGTCTTTCTATTTTACGCGAAAGATTTCAGGACGAAAGAATCGATCCTGAAATAGTTATTTCTATGTCGGATGCAGAATTAGCTTGCCTTGGTGTCACAACAATAGGTGATCGGATTCGTCTACGTTCAGCATGTGGAGGAAAGAAAGATGCAGATGCACCAAATGTTTCTCCGGAAAATAATTCACCATCATCGAATGCTGGTCCAACATCTTCTAGATCCACTGCCGCAAAAGTCGCATCGGAACGTGCTAGATTGTTTAACCCCCGACATTCAAGGGTGGCCAGCAGAAAGAGAAAGGCGTCCCAAGGCTCTGGTAGAACGTGGACGGCTAATGTTTTTTGCTTGGCTGATCGCCAACAAACCAGCATACCAAATGCAAGCGCTAAGCAAATTCTACACAATGCAGGTTTGGGGCTAAAAAAGATCAAGTTTTCACTCCAGGCAAATCTCTCGACCAAGCCTCTTAAGCCTGAAAAAGTAATGCAGGTGAAACAGACATGTAATGGGTGCCTACAAGAATTCCCCATGCATGAATTACGAGATCATTTATATACATGCACAGCAGGACTATTTGATTCTGAACCAAAAGCAAATGATGGTCTTGGTAATGCAACTGATGTTACAATTCAGCAAAGCCAAGGTAATGACACTGTAGAAAGCGATGTCAGCACTGTAATGATTACCCAAAATAATGATGAGCCGGAGCTAACCATCAGTACTCCATTGGTTCCAGAGAATGATGTAAATACTCTTGTATATGAACCTGTGGTTATTGACATTGAAAGCATGGACAATAGCAGTGAAATTGAGGGAGGAATTGTGCAAAATATTGGTCAACATGAAGAAGCTTCAATACATATTGACTCAGTCGTCGATGGCATTTCTGACTACTGTCAGAAAAACAAAGTTTCTAGCACTAAAGAAGTTGTGCGTCTGATGCGATCCAAATTGGTGAAGGGGAGAAGCCTAGAAGTAGAAAGTGAAGATGCTTGTCCAGAAGGTGCAACAAACTACATCCTGGTTAACCGCTACAACATTTTAGAGACAGGCATGGATGAGATAGCTGGTTTACAGGACTTTTCATCTAACACTTTACAGTAATAAAATTTGGTATTTTTTCATAAAATATACAGTATAATTAATTTAACCATATCTTTAACAGAAAGCCCAAGACTGGGGGTCCACGAAAGGAATTCTTTCGTTTAATCTTACTTGAAATCAAAGAAAAATATTTTGATGATGGGCTTCGTGATCTCTTGGCAGAAGAGTATATTACCATTGGAATGATAATGGTAAGATTAAGTAAGACTTTTCATTTTTATCTTTCATTTGATTTTAAAGAGTTCTATCTGAAGCAAAGCATCAAAACACTGTCATTTACAGATTTATTATTCATTTGTGTTTGGGTGGGCGGTTGGGGGGGGGGATAATCCCAAACATATTATACACTTTTCATGCCCCTCTCTATAATTAACACATTGACATTTCAATCTTGACCATTCACACTTTGCAAATAAGACATTGTTTAGTCAACTCTCATGAATACTGCCAAAGTGAAAAATTGTAGAATAAAAAAAGGAGAATAGGTTGTCTAGTAGTTCACAATTAAGCATATAACTCTCTAAAGCATATGGAAACTTTCTTGCTGCTCTGTTCTGTGTTGATGTTTAGTTTATACTAACGGACAGTGATTGGTGCCCATGAGTGGGCAGTTCAACATTCCTTATGCGTATTAATTTTTGATTTGTAATTAAACGTGTCCTGAAACAACTGTGTTTAATTTTAAATCATATTTTAGTGGTCGAAAACGATGTCAGATTTCTCTGCCTAATGTAACATTAGAAATTGCATCATGAAGTGGCACCCGTATTCAGCCACATGATGCATCATTAGGGAGCTTTAGCAATGACTACGAGTACGACTACGAGTACGAGATTCGTCATTCTCGCGCGTTGTTTGCTTACGCCATCAGCCAAAACTCGTAGTCGCCGAGCTTTTGAGTACGAGTTTTTTGATAAATTTGATTGATTGGTCCGTCGTTTAGCATGCCGCAAATGTTCCATGTGAAAACAGGCTACACAATTAAATGAATTAATCAACACCATATAATCAACAAACGCACAATGAACCGGTTGATGTTTAATAATTTTTGCCGTTGATTTTATCCTGAGCAACAAAACACTCGCAACTAAGACAGCCGACTAAACATATATGGCGAACATGCTTTTTCATGCCTTTCAGTTGGGTGAATTTAAACGATTGCATTCCTCGATTTCCGCGTTTGGTGTTATTTTACATGTATTCCTTTTGATTGCTTTCATCAAAGACCCTTTGAAATGCTTCAAGAACTCCGGGACATATCTTGTCGAAAATTTGGCCGTCTCCGATTTCCTGACATGTTGCCTTGCACCGTTCCTGCATTACGTCACTAACAAACAGTTCTGGATGCATATTCAATTCGTCTCACAAACCGCCACTAGTGCATCATGATCTCCATACGATAGCGTCGATTTCACTTGATCGTTATTTGATTGTTGTGTATCTTTTAAAACAACGCGTGTTCATGAGGGGAAAGATTTTAGTCGCCTGGCTGGCAGGTATATGGCTTCTCAGTTGTGCATTTGCAGTGAAAATTTATTCTTCAAACGGAAGTGATAATACCATAACAGCATTAGCACCTTTCACTGGGGTAGCGCCAATTATATTTTCAAGCGTGATGTATGCGTTGACATATTAGGTGCTGAGAAAACAATCGAGAAATTTGGCTCTGGAAAATATTTCCAATCGTCAGCACCAGACGCGAATCTTAAAGAAAAAACGATTTTTGCGGACAATTAAGGATTAAAGCACTCTGTGAGTGCATTATCGGGTTTTACATGCACGAGTTCACAAACAAGAAACGAGAAATTCAATACTGAAATAGTTCGAGTTGAACTTCGAGTTCCTTATTTTAGAAGGAGTGCATGTAAAACCCGATAATACACAAACAAAGAGTGCTTTAATGCTTTTAATATTCATTTTGAGTGAACTCGTAAAGACTTTATATCATTTTAAAACTTAAATAAACAACACATGCTTGCCTTTAAATACTAAAACACCCTAACCGGTTGCCTGTTTAGTATTTTTCGGTGTGGATTCATCTATGATTACATTAATTTCTTCTTAACTAAGTTCGGCAAATTTTTTGTTTATTGCCGCCATTTTGATCGTGCAATAAATCCTATAACGGCACTGCCGTGGCGTTGTTGCTATATAAAATTCTCTCACGTGGTACAAATCGACCAAACAGAACGTAAGTTTACAAAAAATGAATATTAATAATTCTTATCGCATGCATCGCAGTGTTTTGCATCGTGCCTTCTTCTATATATTTCGGTTACCGTATGTTTCATAAGTCGTTTAACAAGCAGAATGACTTAGTGATGAGAAAAATATTTTTTGGAATATTTTACATTAACTATGCTATAAATCCCTTACTGTACGTGTTACGTTTGCCAAACTATCGAAAAACATTTTATTTGCTATACAGTTGGAAAGCCACGCAATAGAAAAATACTTCTTAGTGTGAATCATGATCTATTTGTATATGTAAGTGCTCCAGAATGATTCTAATCTCGAATTTACGTCGCAAGATTATGCAGACTTCTACTGAGCTTGTTATAATTCAGGATGCATAAATGGTGAATAACTATATACATGTATACACATACTTGGATAAAATTGGATAAACAACTATACACATACTTGGATAAAATTGTATAAATAATTTTCTCAGTAGCTACAGAAAGAACATATATCTGCTATAGCTTTACAGACAAAGAGATGCAATATGCTAACTTTTTAAACAATAGCCTGGATAGCTTAGACTCTAATTTAATTACTTTTCATTATGTGCACCCTGTCACTACGACAATTCATAGACGATGTCTTGTGAGGAAAATCTTTGCCAGATAATATAATAGTGTCGTATGTCATCTTACAACGTCGCCTATCAGGCAGGCAATGAGACACTGCATTGCTTCGTATTTTCAATTTAGGTAAAATGTATTTGGGTTCAATTTCACACGTGTTAGTATTTTTCGATTTGATAAACGACCCTCTGAAATGGTTCATAGATTCATGAATATTTGTGACTTGTCAAGAATAAGACGGTTGGGAATTATTTAAAATCGTCTTCAGTGGCGTAACTAGAACGATAATTGGGGGGGGGGGTTAATATTCATATATCCAGTTCTGCCCTACGGATTTCTTTTGTTACAAAACGCTGTCGGATGAATAAACAGAGGGCCAGAGTTTACCAGTAATGGTGCTTTTGCCCTCGGTAAATAAAGTATTTTGACTTTTCACTTTAGAAAACGGAACTCACACAAATGATTGTGTACTCGGGCTCCGTTTTTTAAGGACACACTCCAATGACTCCATGTATAGCGATCTGACTTGTCTCCTTGGTGAAAATCGATGCATAATTATATACAGTATACGTTATTTGCCGGCACGCAAATAGTGAACTGATATTGCAGACACTTTATACGTTGGGAAACATACGAATTAGAAACATTCACTTAAAATTCTGTTGGTGAATTATAAAACTATTCCTCGCGATCCCTTTTTGGTATTCCTCGCACGATTTCGTTTTTTAGGTATAATGAAAGATATTTGACTTACAGGAATATTCGTGCCGCATAAATCATACAAAATACGTTTCACGGGATGCAAAAGATTTTCAGTGAACACAAACGCCTTCGCTGATATCAAAGGATATTTCTCGTACGTGCCAAACTAAAAGTTCGCCTTTCGCTAAAAGTATGGGAGATAAAACAAGTTGATTATTAACTTGATAGCAAAATAAAAAAATGTTTAATTAAGCAAGGGACGGTGGTATCAAAGCTGTCTATGGTTATCCACCAGATAGTGCTTTTTTCATTGCCCGCGTTGTTTGGTACAACAACATGCATAGATTAAAAACGTTAATATCCTGGGATGGACCATTCCCCTATTAAACTAAATTTAAAACTAGGAATTTTCATCCGTACAGATGGAAAGAACATTTCAAAATAAGTAAAAATTAATTAGCCTAAAAATAATAATAACTCCATGATTATGAATCATCGGTTAGTCGTGCCCCTTTATATATAAGGTCCTGTGGCAGAGGAAGCATTGATATAAGTGTTAAGTAGCTTTTATTTTCTATTTACGCGAGGTAGGAGATCTTTTACAATTGTTAACTAATGTTCATTAATGTTCAGTTTCTTTACTGGATTCTCTACTCTTCACTTGATCTTCTGATCTTCGTCGTTTTGAGTTCTTGTCTTCGTTGTCTGTCCTGTAAGGTTGAGCTTCCTAACGTTTCACATGCTTTTTACTCCGCTAGTCCACTGAAGGTTGGGGTGTTGTGCACGCCCTTTTATAATAACGGTTGAGGGAAACTTGCAGACGTCATCAACCAGAGTGGGCTGATCCTTATCCAACCAATCAGCGTTGTAAGTTAGAAATGTGGGTTGGTCTTAGAAGCTCGTTCCAGCTCTCATATCTTGTTTGCTTAAGGCGTTGTCGCACTAGTCGAGTTGGTCTTCTGCTCAATCGATCAATACTTAAAAATGTTCACAACTTAAAATGTTTATCATCAACAACTAGTAAAATTTACAAACAATACGTCTGTGAACAATATCTTTCAACTTAAACTATTTTCACTCTTATTTTATCGAATTGAACTTTTGATGACGTAATCTATTACATGCTTGACCGAGCAACATTTTTAACACAATTGATTGACATAAGAACTTGAATGGCCGACAGCACGCACATTTTTTTTATAAAAATGCAACCATTAAGATAAGTGAAGACTTAAGACTGTTTACCCAGGTATTAGTTCTGAGAGGATTATAAATATTTTCACCTTGTTACTTATTTAACCCCACGATATGTCATACATGAAAGGGAAAGGCGATTAATGTTTGCTAATGGCCGAAAAATATACTTACTCAGGCGTCTTGTGGCAAAAATCATTCACTAATCCCTGTCATGCAATTGATATTCCTATTTTTGCAGCTATTTTATATGCATATCTCTAAACACAATAAAGCTTTGCGTAACATAAGGTGGAACGAATGAGTTCAACAGTTCAACTCAGGCTCAAGACGGCGTTTTCAAAACCTAAAAGCTCACCTGTATTTCTGTGATTAACTTTGCAGTCTCTCTGTTCAGGTCAACTGACTGAAAATACAAACAGCCAATATAAATTCTCAGACGTGGATCTTTTTAGCAGAACAAAAGCAGTATATAATTACTCCAGCGTCAGCGACAGAGTTGGTTTGGGGGTTTTTTTTGGGGGGGGGGTTATTGTTTTTTGTCGTTACAAGTGTCTTTTGGCGCAAAATGAACTAGTTTTTAAAGCACGTTGTGCTTCTGAATGTCGCGATCAAATTAAACAACATTTAGGTTCGCAAGGCATCTAAATGAGTATGAACTGTATTGTAAATATACAAGGTTTTTATCTTAGAGAATAGCCCAATCATAATTTTATTATCATTACGCGTGGTCTGTAGAAGTTGAGGTTGTTCTCAAATTAGTCTTACATTGAGTCCTAGAAAACTCCATTGACAACAAAACTTCATCTACCTTTTTGCTGAGACATGCTAAATTTGTTGTTTCCATTTGCCTTTCTTTATCCAAGATGTTTTGCGAAAAGACCGATGTCGTCATCATAACTGTTTAAACCGATTGCTTGCAGTCTCTCGGTGTGGACCCTACAAAAATCTACGTCTTTTGCTTTTAAAAGACATTTTTACGAGGAAAAATCTTTCTTAACTTCTCTCGTGCTTTTTCACATGAAAACAATTGATGCTGCTAAGCAACCACTCCGTATAATTAAAGAATATGCTCGCGCTTGCTTTATTGCGTCCGAGAATGAGGAACATTTTGAGGAACTGATCAGAACAGATCCTTCAACTTCGGAAGTGAACTTATCAACAATTTTCAAAGAGCTTCTATTCAGTGGCGGATCTAGGGTATATAAGGCTGAGTAAATTACTACAGCTTTAACTTGCAATTACATTGGAGAATTTTTATTTCAAAATATTGTTTAGAAATTTAAAGCCAATATAACGTTGCTATTAAAGTATTTTCAATTTAAAGCTAGGCCTCAGCCTATGACCTTATTGATACGCCATTGCTTCTATTGGCACGACTGTAATGCAAAGGGCAATGCTTTTCATTCTTGCTCATAATGCACTAAATTTGTAGCGATCATAAAGTTGCTTTAGTCGCTATAATTTTTAGCGAAATGTGTAACAACATTATAATTAGTGACACATTTAGCAAGAGATAAGGATACAATTCTGGCAGCCCACTTAAGCAGTAGGGATACTTTCAAGAAAAAATAGGCCAAAATGTAAGATTCTTAGAATACAGTACTTCAATTGGTATAATTGGTCGTGATTTATATGTAAATGGCCTATTCTAAGGAAAGTTATTATATCGCGTAGAGGCAGAGCATCGACGTGCCCTATCATGATTGAAAAATAACACGATAGCTGAAAAACATGTTATCACAGGAACAGGTAATATAAATATTTAGGTAAATTATATACAGCCAGCTTGAGATACATCTTGCAACAATAATTTAAGATTCAATTTCTTTCCCAGAATATCGAAACCTAGGATGTCGTTTCCTAGGATGTCGAATCTTCCGCATTTAAATATTAACTGTATTGCGTTTGGTTTATTCTTACATGTTTAAATATGCTGACCAGTTTTCACGTTTGTTTTGCTGAAATATGCTTTGCTTCTATTTAGCAATTATACCACGAGTTCAAGTCGTATATGAGCTGTAGCCGACGAGATGCGTAGAACCCAGTTGGCTATCAGCCATATGGGACGCGAGCAAAAATTGTAAGGCTGGTTGACCGGAACAAACTGTCAGGCTGATTACACTCAAATCTGACAAAAACATTAAAAATAACGACCACCCTCTCAGCGGGAAGGATTAACATAAGTATAAGGCTCTTCAAAATGTCATTGCTGTATAAACAAACTTGAATGGGCGGGGCTGTAATGTTGTTACGCGTACTTCCTCGCTGACCTTAATGGACCTTATGCGACACCGCGGAAATTGTTGAGACTTCGCCGCAATCCTAAATACTTAGGCTTCAAACTTGTTAAGAGAGAAGATTTATAAATACCAAACAAAATAGGTCTTGGACAAAAGATTTGAAGGCTTGCACACGGCAAAAACAAGTCGTTTGAATTAACCACAAAATGGCCATTAGACATAACGCAAATGTGCTGTCAAAAGAGTGCAGAATGCGTATTCAGAAGAAAAATTGAACTTTTTAAAGTTATTCAATGTAGTTTTCTCTTCGATAGCGATACAGAAATGCACAATTGTGAACCAATGATTAGATTTTCGGGTTAAGATTTCATAAACACCAATTTTTGCGCTGTTACTTTATGCGCAATCGAATAATAATTTTAAATCTGCCGCCAAAATGAAGAACAAAATGTTTTACCAGAGCTAAGAATCTTAAGACCAAACTAAAATTAATATAATTGCAAATCTTAGTTGCGAAATTTTCTAAGATGCAGAAAACATAGCCACAATATGGCAACATATGTATATTTTTGTGTCGCGTGTGGAAATGTGTAACTAATTTTGCTACATAAGGCCGTTCTAACAATTATAGCGACTAAAGCAACTTTATATAATCGCTCCAAATTTAAGTGCATTTTGAGCGAACCCTTTGCATTTCAATCGTGCCATTGGAAGCATTGGTGGATCAGGGTATAGACTGAGGCCTAATGTTAAATTCAAGATACTTGAATAGAAGCACTCCGAAAATTGCTGAGAAATTCCTTAGAATACAGATGAGCTGATATGACTAATCGAAATGAAAGCAGCGGTCACGTGGTCCGCAACGGAAGTCTCAATTTATTGAGGGAAGTTTTAATGTTTCCATTCACTTGATTGCTTACATATTTCTATAAACTTGTATTCGCAATTTGAGCCATTATATTGGGCGCTTAGCAATTTCAAAGAAATCAAAATCTTGCAGGAGAGTTTGATATTTCTTCGAAATGTCGAGCTTGTTTCGCTTGTGCATCATCTGTTTTTGATTCCAAGGAAACCACGTTCAAACTCGCCCTGGTAAACCCGGGTTCTTGCAAAGCTTTTCGAGAAGGAACGGTATCAGTATCACCTGCAAGATTTAAAGGTTTGCCCGTAATTTCCCGTCCATACATGCTAGACTTTTCAGTTTTAATAAATTCGATCTGTTTCAACACGTTTTCAGTTATTTTTATGGTGCACACGACGAAGATGTATTGTCCACGCGCGTAAAAATCATCATGTTGATGCAAGTCGTTAAAAACAGGAGTGAACAATGTTGTGCTGCACCCCGCAAACAGTATTTTTAACAATGTTGTTGAAACTTGTTGAACTATCAATATTGTTGCAACTTGTCACAACAACATTGCATCAACACTGATGATTCAACATGGTTCAACAACATTGTTAATAATACGTACTGTTTGCAGGGTGCAGCACAACGTTGTTCACCCCTGATGCAACAACCTGATCAATTTTTGGCCGTGTATCTTTCCGGTTTCTTCACTTGAATCAAAACATTGAAACTTCCATCAATACATTGAGTTTTCCGTTGCGGTTCATGTGACCGTTCGTTTGATTTAATTGGTCAATAGTCATATTGCCTCAAATATGATTGGTTTATTGTGATAAAGAAGTTTCAAATTTCTTGAGAGACTTTTTAAGGAACTGATCAGACCAGTCCCTTCAAAATGCAAGTTTAGGAAATGAGCTGACCAACAATTTTCGGAACGCTTCTTTAGTCTCATTCATTCTCGCCCAAAATCGCAAAAAAAGCGATTATAAATTGCTTTAGTCGCTATAATTATTAGGAGTATTCATAAAATTTTGCAACTAATTAACTAATCTAAATACGCATTGTGCAATCTTTGACAGTCATCATACACATCTCACAGCTGTAAAATTGCCATTTTGAGGCTTATGTATATACACAAGGTTATTAATTCAGACGACTCGTTTTTGCCCTGTGCAAGCTTGAAATCTTTGTCCAATACATATTTTGTTGGGAATTTATGAATATTTTTTCTCAACAAGTTGAAGCCTAAGTTTTGAGAATTTCGGTCAAGTCTTAACAAGTATAAATCTTATCAATATCCGCGGTGTCGCATAAGGTCCATTAAGGTCAGTGAGGAAGTAGGCGTAACAACATTGCAGCCCCCATTCAAGTTTTTTTATACGGCAATGACATTTTGAAGGGCCTTATTTATGTTAATTCTTCCCGCTGAGAGGGTGGTTGCTATTTTTAGTGTTTTTTTTAGATTTGAGTGTAGTCAGCCTGACAGTTTGTTCCGGTCAACCAGCCTTACAATTTTTGCTCTCGTCCCATATGGCTGATAGCCAACTTGGTTCTATACGCATCTCGTCGGCTACAGCTCATATACGACTCGAGCTCGTGGTATAATTGTTAAATAGACGCAAAGCATATTTCAGCAAAACAAACGTGAAGACTAGTCAACAATGTCATTTTAAAGCGCCTTACTTATGTAAATCCTTCACTCTTTGTCAGAGTTGAATGTGAAAATAATGCTCAGCAGCGTAGCCAGCCTGACAGTTTGTTCCAGTCAAACAGTCTGACAATTTTCGATCTCGTCGCGTACGGCTCGTGGTATAGTTGTTAATTAGAAGCAAAGCATATTTCAGCAAAGCAAACGTGAAGTCTTGTCAGCGCGAATGGCGCTTTTTAATTTTTTCTGATCCCTAATGCGGCATTTCAAACTTGATTCGCATCTTGAAACACAAATATAAAGTATGAGGTGCTCAGAACAATTGTAGGTTAATATAAAGTATGAGGTGCTCAGAACAATAGGTTAATATAAAGTATGAGGTGCTCAGAACAATAGGTTAATATAAAGTATGAGGTGCTCAGAACAATTGAACATGTAAAAACATGTTTTCGAATCGTGCTAAAATGCAATCAATTACCAAATGAAGTACTGTATTCTAAGAATGCTACGCCTTTTTTTTCTTGAAAGGTCTTCCTACTGTTGCTGGATTTGTAACCTTATCTCATTGATGTTGAATACATCCTGAAAAGGAAATTGAGATTGCCATGTATGGTTGTTAGAAAATTAATAACCTTCTGTGAAATTAGAAAAATCGTCGTATCTGATTGGCTAATATCAACTGTATCACTTGCATTCCAGATCTCTATAAATACAGGGCGCTAATGCAGCATGTACTGCATGGGCAGCAAAAGTTTTTTGTTGACGAAGGATACAATCTCAGCACAAAATAGAGAGAAAATATTTTGGTATTCAACTTCGACATTACGAAGACAACTAAGGTAATTCACAATACGTTACATTTAGTTGTAAAACAGAAATCATTGCGATGGATTTAAAATGTCTACCTAAATTTTGAAATTTCAAAGATCGTCGGATGCTTTGATATCTTGTTGGGAATTTTGAATGTTTTGACAAAACTTTTAAAGATATTCAAAAGAATATAAGTTTGTCGAATACCATTTAATAAGATCTACAATACAAACGATCTATATTTCATCATATCGCTAGAATTGTTTGTGATGTAGCAACTGCGGATTTGATGGCGATCTGCTAGTGTAAGAACGGCAGCTGGGCAGCTGGCAGGCACCAAATACGGATTATACAAAAATATCAATCAATTTTCCATCATGATTTATCTGGGAATCGACACTGTAGCGATTGGTTTGCATTCATATATAGATTTAGTTAACCGCGATTAATTATATTTAGATTTGGTAAGCAAAGAGATTTATCAATGTTGAACAAAATATAACTTGCACAGGAAACTTAAAGCTTGCAGACGGTAAAAACAAAATTAATCGTCTGGATTAATAAACTTGAGTACACAAGTCGACAATTTTTCTCGACATATTTGCGTACGGATACGAAGATAAATCTTTCTGAGCAATCTCTCACAAGCATAGATCGCTCTACCGATATGAAAAAAGCATAATTCTGACCAGTGTGTGCAATTAACTAAAAACACTGATTCCATTTTTCTGAATTTTAACAACCAAGATGCCTGTTCTGGCCGGCGTGCCGCACAAGTGCCAGTGTTCAATATATAGCTTCTGAACATAAACAATACATTTCATACTCATTTAGATGCCTTGCGAACCTAAATGTTGTTTGATCGCGACATTCAGAAGCACGTCGTACTTTAAAAAGTATAGAAGTTCAATTGTTCAAAAATGTAAATAAACCGCATGATACGTTCACTTTTTCTTACACTTTGATATTAAATCTTCAATCCTGTGCAAACTGCGACGTGTACGTCAACGCGCCCATACACGAACACATCTTGTTAAAAGACGAAATAGCAGCGATCTTCTTAAAATAGGACCAGAATCGACATGTCATAAATATATTCTTACCCCAATTAAATCTAAACTTAATCAAAAAGCATCAAAAGAATGGTTTATTTGTTCCTCTGGAGGAGGAATTGCTGTATCATGTGAGCGAAATCAAATCGCGCATCTGAAAATTAGCCAAAGATTTCCAGCTGTGCACCACAACTTTTAGGAGACAAAACTATGACGTAGATAAATACGGTCACATACACTTTTGCGGCCTATTCTTTCAATAATTCGTGACAATTTTAATCGACCTGTTCTAAAATTACGAAGATGGACTAGAAGAGCAATATCTTTTTGACACACCATATATATAAAAAGGTGTTTAAAATTGAGCTCACATTATTTTAAAGTTTGACATTTGGCCTTTGTTGTTAGCAACAGATTCAGTTTGAGACAACGATTGAGATGGCAAGTACCAAGACCAAGACCAAACTGACTAAAGAACAAGTATCACAGGCTGTGAAGTTATTTGGAGAATGGTTTCCTGAGGAGAATGAAAACTTGAAAAAACATCACGACGACATTGTGCGCCATATTCTTGAGGGTAATGTATCCGGCCGACTGATATTTAATAATTATGCCATGAGCTTGCGTCATATGCTGATAGGCAACGAGGTGCGACCGCGAGTAGGCTATCAAGAACAAAAAAAATGCTTTTTGTCATTTCTAATTACCCGTGAATATTTTTATCTCATGTTTTATTTATTTATTTTATATCTCTGAGAACTGAACTTTTAAAAGCGTTAGCCAATATCTTCCTTATCACACCTAAGCAAAACTGTCGGCCATTTTGTTTTTGCTACTCACCATAGTATGAGCTGATATCTGGTGAGTATCTCCACCAATCAGATTGCAAAATAGATTATATACAGCGATTAGTTATATCATAAAATATCTTAGCCCTTTTGCATTGCACTTGCGCTGTAGCTGTTCTGATTGATATAAGTTCAAAAAATATATAAAGATCAAAAATTGATATTACAGGTACTGAACCAAAAGAAGGCGCACCGCTGCTTCTTCAAGTTCACGCGAAAAAAGCAGCAGCTGTTGCAACTGAACTCAGCGCGGAAGCTGTTTCTTTAACACCTTGCCAGGAAGCAATTGGCGTTTTTATTGCTGACGTGGTTTTCTTCATCTTGGGCTTGGTTGGCTTGCACGTGTCAAATCAACAGCGGATTGCACGTGCCCTCATTCGCGAGTTAGGAGGAACCACACTGAACGGATTTCTCCGAGCTATAGAAGCTTTCAATGAAGCTGAAAGTGCGACAGCGAAGGCGAAAGCTCTCTTCACAATTTTTTCACAGATCTTTAAGGCTGGTGGTTTCAAAGCTGTATTCAAGGTCCTTAAAGATGAAATGTCATTTTGGGAGTGGATCAAAACAGGCATTATTGCAGTGGCCCAGATTACTGCGTGGGTTGCAACCGATGGTGTTGCTTTTATTGCCGAAGTAGCTTTGAGCATCATGAGTGCCACGCAAATGATCCAGGATGGCATAAAAGCTGTAAAAACCTGCAAGGGCTCTTAAACATTATTTTGTGGCCAACTCTCTTAAAATAATCTGAAACGACCTCTTTTACAAAATTTCCGTTCGCGATAATTCAGCTTTTCCTATTTTGTGTGATTTTGATTATCAGATCTAATGACGGTTTGCTGAATTGAATTCTTAATTTGTAATCATAAACGTATTGCATGCATGGTTTTGTAATGTTATTCTAAATTTATTTAGAATATTCAGAAATAAATATTTTACTAATGAAATAAATAAGTAACTTTTGCCAAACTGTTATTTTCTTTTAATATACGTCTATTGTGGAGTATGTTCATGCAATTCGATAAAGTTATAGTATACTCAACTGGCGGCAAACCAAAATCCTAAAAGCTAATTTCCATTTGTTTTTATTTGGTTCGTTGAAACTTCGTTGATGCCATCATTACATAGCATTCCGGCAATATGGGACTTCGAGAATTTGAGTCCTTGTCTGCATTCTTTACTTTTAGTATTTTTACTCAGGTTGGGTTGTAGACTCAACTTATGTCGCAAAAGTATATAGGGCAAATACTAAAAATATCAGCGCAAGCGGAGCTAAAAATTGTTTGTCCGCCAAAGCCGTGCTTCCTGCTTCCACTTTCACGCAAATTCATTACTTGCGTATAAAGGGCATAAATCCGGCAATATACTTAGCAGTAGGAAGACGCCTGAAGAGAAAACGTCCAAAGGCCAAAATGTAAGATTATTTGGGGCTAAGACTTTCATTTGGTAATTGATTGCGGGCTATTCTTAGCCTATAATCAGGCGTCTCTTTGGCAACGTAATGATTCCAATTTGGATTCCAACATACATGACGTTTTCACTCACCCGTTTCGTCTCTTTCCATGCGGCTATTAGCCGGTAAAAAACACCCCAAACGGACGGGCTGTCAGCCGTGTAATGTACGTCCGTTTGTACGCTGAGTTCTGCCAATTATAGTTTCTACAGAAATTCTTTACCTAAATCTGAAGTTAAACGAAAAATTACGTTTATAATTTTAAAGAATGAAGTAGTAATTAAGATACTGAACTTTAGAAGTACATGAGATTCTTCTGGAAATGCGAATATTTTTATTTGTTATGAATTTAATTCTGGAATAAACGACGCCATCTTTTACAATTACAAGATTCTAATAATGTTTCTTTGGGCTATGAATCAGTCAATTGGAAAGAGTTTACTCTTATAACAGTTTTTAACAGTTTTATTGTGGTATTTTTCTTTAATTTTTCAAAGGAAGGCAATTTTGTTAGGCATCTGGCTTGATGATATAACTAGTATGGGGTACATATTTATTTTGGTTTCTTTATATCAATTGTTTATATGAATTATGCAACTTTGCAATGATTTATAGGTAAGGACTGCAGAAACTGTAGGTCAAATTATGTCAAATATGTCAGTACCATCTAAGTGATATTTGCTGATGTGTGTAAAAAAAGTTGTAGTGATATATGGCGTCCGCTGTATGATATATGGTGCCTCATTTTATTTAAACGTGATGGTGGTAAACACTCATGGTGTGGATGTGGAAAATTTCACCATTCATACTCCATATACCATACAGCGTACGTACGTTATACGGCTGCCAGCCGTGAATATGATTTCATGCTGCAAACTCTCTAATATCACCATTCACACACCATATACTATACAGCGGACGTACGTTATACGGCTGCCAGCCGTGAATATGATTTTATGGTGCAAACTCTCTAATATCACCATTCAACCACCATATACCATACAGCGGACGTACGTTATACGGCTGCCAGCCGTGAATATGATCTCATGCTGCAAACTGTCTAATATCACCATTCACACACCATATACTATACAGCGGACGTACGTTATACGGCTGCCAGCCATGAATATGATTTCCTGCTGCAAACTCTCTAATATCACCATTCATACACCATATACTATACAGCGGACGTACGTTATACGGCTGCCAGCCGTGAATATGATTTCATGGTGCAAACTCTCTAATATCACCATTCATATACCATACAGCGTACGTACGTTATACAGCTGCCAGCCGTGAATATGATTTCATGGTGCAAACTCTCTAATATCACCATTCATACACCATATACCATACAGCGGACGTACGTTATACGGCTGTCAGCCGTGAATATGATTTCATGGTGCAAACTCTCTAATATCAACATTCATACACCATATACCATACAGCGGACGTACGTTATACGGCTGTCAGCCGTGAATATGATTTCATGGTGCAAACTCTCTAATATCACTATTCATACACCATATATCATACAACAGACGTGCGTTATACGGCTGCCAGCCGTGAATTTGATTTCATGGTTCAAACTCTATAATATCACCATTCAACCACCATATATCATACAACAGACGTGCGTTATACGGCTGCCAGCCGTGAATATTATTTCATGGTGCAAACTCTCTAATATCACCATTCATACTCCATATACCATACAGCGGACGTACGTTATACGGCTGCCAGCCGTGAATTTGATTTCATGCTGCAAACTCTCTAATAACACCATCCATACTCCATAATATACAGCGGACGTACGTTATACGGCTTCCAGCTGTGAATATGATTTCATGGTGCAAACTTTCTATCTTTCCGAAATAAATGCGATATCTGAGTTTTTCACCGAACGATTGTGCTATGTTGAGTAAAGCTCGTTGATACTTTGTCCCTTTGCCCCTGGTAGTAAAAGGCTGCACGCAAAACAGGGTCTATTCTATACATGGGCGTAGGAGGCATCCAGAGATTGGGGGGCCTGAGGGACCAGCTTCCATGGGCCGTTTTGGTTCATAAAAGGGCCTTTAGGGATGGATTGATTGCCAAAGCTTTAAGGACACCACTAGCTAGTGTGGTGTATATTTATTCTCTATATTCTTATATTTTCGGGGGGGAGGGGGTGTCTCCACCCTGTTCCTAGGTACATCTTTATAGCACGCGTATCATGTGAACAGTCTCAGTATCTCGAGGAAAAGCCCGCATATTTTCGTGTGTTGTGGCGCAGTACTATTTGAATAACAAAATTTATTTATCGATTATTAGATGCAAAGATTTCGCAAATGAGCTCTTTTTCTGTAACAAAATTCCTTCTGGATATTTCACCTGGATATCAGTGAAAAATTCCTTACAGCAAGCCAGACAACAGAGGCCAGACAAGGGAGAAATGCCGGACACAACAGCGCACAATTATAGATCAATTTGATATTATTGATAGCTAGTTCACTGTAGCTAGGGAAAGTGCGTCATTTTCGCTATCCCCAGATCTTGCAGCCTAGTCTAAGGCTTTGTAAACGCGCGCTGCAGATCTTGAGCGCATCATGAAGTCTGGGGCGACTGGACAAACGTACGTACGTTACACGGCTGCCAGCCCGTCCGTTTTAGCCTTTAAACACGGCTATCAGCCGTATGACTTAGATGAACCGGGTGTTTTACCAGTTTTATGGCCGGCGTGGTTGAACATTTCCCCATTTTCTGGTTTCCTACGCGTTTTTCCGTTGTGATCCGTGATTGGCTCGCTCACTCCGTCCAGGGAGGGGAGAGCGGGTAAAATAGGTTTTTCCCTTTTACTCTCCGAGCACTGCTGTTTTCATCTAAACTCATTTTTTTGTAAACTACACGTTAAAATAAAGCTCTTAAAACAAAGTTTCCTAAATTGAGTGTTGGTTACACCTGTGATGAAGGGATTCCTGTCCTACTTCTAATCCTGAGGAATCTTATCAGAACACTGATAGACTTTGTTGCAACGTCTTCTTCAACTACCAATATTCTCATGCAATTTACCAACCAGATAAGTATATTAAAAAATTCTAGATCAAGAACCAGACGTTCCTCAAAATACAAGAACGGTTACAAACTTACAACGAATTGAAGCTGGCGCATGATGAAAGATTTGGAGTGATTGAAAATGATTTGCTATAGTGCAAGTGTAAGTTTGTAAAACTAGATTATATTGAAGTGTCTGTGAAAGACAATTGATGTAATCAAAATATTCGAAGAGGAACTACGCTGACGTGTCGCATCACTTTCTAGAAGACTATATTTTCATCCCGTAGATTACATAGCCACAAAACTCAAAACACCACAAACATGCAGCGAATTGGTTCACAGCAGTGCTTGTCAAAAAAAATCATAACACGGCTCACAAACTTCCAAATATTTTCGCTCCAAGATATTGTTGCGCAGTTGCAATTCCTTGTCAAGTTTCCTTGAGGGCGGTACACACAAGCATTTTGAACAAGGCTCCTTGTCAGGGAAAATTTGTCAATTTTTTCGCGTACACACGAGCAAATAAAACTTGGCAAGGAAAACATGCCCGCCTGAATGGGGCTCAACTCCACTCACGTCAGTCAAATAACTGAGAGATTTGTTTCAACACCTTTGAACGTGGACAGCCCAGAAATGTCTTCATTCTCGTGGCGCTCGCGCGTGAACGCGAGTCTACTCGGTCTATTATTTCAACAAGGTTGGCGAGATTTTTATTTTTTACTAAAATATAATAGAACGTTTGTTACGGCCTGAATATCACGCAAATTACAAATAAAAATAATAGAAAAATTACATTGGTTTGAACGCCGGTAATTTGACTACATTCTTTCGAGGTTTTAACTTCAAACGTTAATTTTAAGCATGCTAAAAAATATTTTTCGAAATTTTGACAAAATTTAAATTTTGACAAAATTTTATCAAAACTGTGCTGGCGACACCCAACCTACCTCGTCGTCATCTATTTGGGTTGCAAATAAAAAGCTGATTGCATGCTGTCGTTTTCAGTTGGAAGAAGAGCCAATCACCTTTCTATTTGCAATTCAAATAGATTAATGAAATATTTAAATTGTGTTATGACAATGTATTCGATTGAAGGCATTACTAGTTAGCGATATGATTCCCAAAATTTCTATTTATTATTATCGCCATTGCCAAGGAAATGTCATGGCATTAACTAAGTAATGCCTATACAATGTATAATTATTCAATGCAACAAGGCCGCGAGTGTTTTAGACCCTGTTTACACTAGAACGAAAGTTTCCGGATTTGTAAAATTTTCCGGATTCATTACATACATGTATCGGATTCGTCAGATGTTTACACTACACTTTAGTTGCTCTGTATGCGGATTTGTCCGTTTACACTCACATTACTTGTTCTTGGAGAATTATTTGGTCGTCATATTGAATTTCTTCGGATTCGTCGTGGAAAGCGTTT